AATATAATAAACTAATGTTTGAAAAGGAAGCAAGGAAATTTTGGAGAAAAAAATTTTTTTTTGCCTTTTTTTTTTTTTTTTGGGTCTGGTCGTGGGGCCTGAACTCTGGGCCTGGGCGCTGTCCCTCAGCTCTTCAGCTCAAGGCTAGCACTCTACCACTTGAGCCACAGCACCACTTCCGGCTTTTTTCTTTTTGCTTATGTGGTGTTGAGGAATCGAACCCAGGGCCTCATGCATGCAAGGCAGGCGCTCTACCACTGAGCCATCTTCCCAGCCCGAGAAAGTTTTTTTTCAACAAATGATGCCTGAAAAACTAGACATTCACTTGCAAAACTGTAAATCTAGTTAGAAATTTTATACCTTTTGGAGAAATCAACAAGGATAAAAGGCCTAAAGTTTAGAAATATAAATCTCACTGAAGATAACACAGAAGAAAACTTTTTTTTATTTTTTGTTGGTATATTTTGTTGGTTGTGGGGCTTGAACTCTGGGTCTGGGTGCTGTCTCTCAGCTCTCCAGCTCAAGGCTAGCACCTTACCACTTGAGCCACAGCTCCACTTCTGGCTTTTTCTGCTTAAGTGGTGCTGAGGAATCGAACCCAGGGCCTCATGCATGCGAGGCAAGCACTCTACCACTGAGCCAACTTCCCAGCACAAGAAAACCTTTTAAGATGCATAACCAAAGGTGTAATACATTAAAAGAAACAAAAAGGTACCTTATTAAAATAAAAAATTTAACCTGGGGCTAGTAGATCACACCTGTAATCCTATTACTCAGGAGGCTGAGAGATCTGAGGATCTACCAGACAGAAAAGTCCTTGAGACTCTTACCCCCAGTTAACCAGCAAAAATCCAGACGTAGAGGTGTGGCTCAAGTGATAGTGTGTCATCTTTGAGTTGAAAAGCTAAGTGAGAGCAAGAGGCCCCAGTACCTGCACCAAGACACAAAAACAACCCTCTCTCCCCATATACACATTCAGTGAGTCACACCTGTAATCCCAGCTACTTGTAAGGTAGAGATCTGGATGGAAAATTGTGGTTCCAAGTCAGGTTGGGCAAAAAGTTGGGGACATACTAACTCAGCCAATGAAAAGCTGGGCATAGTAGTGCACACACAAATGAAATGCCAGCCTTACTCTGATTGTAATTTAAACGTATTTATGGAGAAGATTTTGTTTAATTGGAGAAATTTTACTACAGATTGGACTTTAGATTGTATCAAGCAAGTTATTCTACTAGTATGGATGCTTGAATCCAGGGCCTTGGCTTTGTCTGGCTTGACCTTCGTGCTCACAGCTGATGCTCTAATACTTGAGCCATACCTCCAGTCCTGATTAATTGGACTCCTTCAGACTTTTTTGTTGAGATTGGCTTCACAGATCTCAGCTACCTAGGTAGGACTGCAGATTGAGCCACTGCACCCAGTTTGTTAATTATTTTTTATGTGTGACATTAGTATGGTATTTATAAATGAAAATATCTGTGTTTTTAGAGATGTGTTTTTGAGATATTTCTGGGACTTATTTGAGAATGCTGCAGCCAAGAGAAAGGATAGTTGAAATAAATGTGGCACAATCTTAAAACCTGGTGAATTTGGGTGAAAACACAGAAAAGATACTCTGAGTATGTTTGAAAATTAAAACTGTTAGTGATTATAAGCATGAGAAAATGTTAAGTATATAAGCTTGTGCCTTGATAAAATTGTAGTTTGTAGTATGAAGAAGGTTAAATGGAAATAGATTATTTGCAACTATGAAAACAACATTCCAGAAATAATATTTTCTTTTTTTGTGTGTCACATTTTTTACACTCAAGTTTAGGATTCTCTCTTTCCCTTCCCCTCTTCCCTACATCTCTCCTTCTCCCCTTCCTCCCTTCTCCCCCCCCCCCCCCATTTCTTTTCTGTCTCTCTCCTCTCTTCCCTTTTTTCTCTCTAGTTTTGTGGTTTCACAGATTTCTATATTCAATCCCAGATACACAGCTACCACTATTTCTTAGGCATCTATATTCTGCATATTGGATATACTATATATTGTATTTCTGACAGAATTTCAAAATATTTTAATAGTGGTAAGGAAATGATGTCAAACCAATGTTGAGAGAGTAATGGTTTCTTAAATGATTTTGTTCTGAATTTAATATAAGGTTTTTTGCCCGTTTAATTCCTGGGACTAGTTTTTAGTTAATGAATTTTTGGTGACACTGGGCTTTGGACTCAGAGCCTCAAGCTTGCTATGCTTGAGGCATGATTCTTTTTTGTTTTAGATATTTTTTGACTAGAGTCTCATGTTTTTTACTAGGACTTTCCAGCCATCCTCCTCCTTGTGGCTGGGATCACAGTGTGGACCACCTTATCTGACTTGTTTGTTGAGATGGAGTCTTTCTGACTTTTCCCCCCTGCCTGGCAGAACTCCAGCTACTACCCTGCTGATTTTTGTTTCCTGATTAACTGGGGTTACAGGTGTACAGCACCATGCCTAACCTTCTCAAGTGTTTAATAACAATGAATGTCTTTACAACTTTTCAGAGCTCTTTGATACTGTTTGATTTTTACAAGTGGTTGGACATTTTTTGCAAAAAAAAAAAAAAAGTGTTGCCACTTTCTTAGGAAACTAAGGCCTGAGGGTCTTGTGATCCTCTTAAAGTTGTAAAGTTAGAACTGAATTTTAATTTTAAAATCAGTTTTATTTTCAGGGCCATTTTGTTTAAATTCCATATTCGCAAAGGATGTTGATGACTCTTCTTTATATCTCTTGCAACTTTTAAATACTTAAAGATATAAAAATTAAGATATGTAACTAAGAAGTATTAAATATATCTTAAAATTAAGATACATTAAATATATATCTTAAAATTATACAATAAATATATATAATTAAGATAATAAAGATGAGACAGCAGTGTATTGAAAAAAAGTTTTGGAGAAAAAGATTTAATATGGGGCTGGGAAGGTGGCTCAGTGGTAGAGTGCTTGCCTTGCATGCACGAGGCCCTGGGTTCAATTCCTCAGCACCACATAAGCAGAAAAAGCGAGAAGTGGTGCTATGGTTCAAGTGGTAGATCACTAGCCTTGAGCTGAAGAGCTAAGGGACAGTGCGCAGGCCCAGAGTTCAGGCCCCACAACTGACAAAGAAAAAAAAAAGGTTTAATATCCAGGCATACAAAATGTTTTTCCAGATCAGAAGGAAAACAGTTCGAAAGAATCGCAGATATGCTGGGCAGTGGTTTGCAAGCTTATAAATCCTTGCCCTTTGAGGGGTGTTGCAGGAGGATTATAAATTAAAGGCCAGTCTGGGTACATATTAGGAGATTATCTCAAAATAAAATGAAGAAGAAAAAAATGAAAAAAAGATAGAGCATATCACCAGAGAGGAAATTCTAGTCACTAATAAATGAATGAAAAATACTCTATTAGTAGGGAATGTAAATTAAAAAGATGATCAGCTTAGCTGGGAACTAGTGCTTTATGCCTGTAAGCCTACCTATACAGGAGGCTGAGATTTAAGGTTTGTAGTTTGAAGCCAGCCCATCAGGAAAGTCTGTGAGACTCTTCATCTCCAGTTAACTAGCAAAACCCAGAAGTGGAATTGTGGCTCAAGTGGTAGAATTTCAGCAACAGTACCCAGGCCCTGAATTCAAGCCCCAATACTGACACAAAAAACAAAGGATGTGACCCCCTTACACTCAAGATATTCACAAGAATTTTTTTTTTTTTTAATGGAGAGTTCTGACTGTTAGTAAGGAAGGATGGAAAACAGGCGCATTCCCATATACTGGTAATAGGTTCATCTTTTTCAGAACTCAGTTTGACCACAAATATCTGTCCTACATAGGCTTAAATCAGTCTAGTATATAGGAGATGGTAAGGGGATGCTGTGAAATTAATCCTAACTTAAAAAAACCCAGAAAACCTGCATGTGGCACTCTTGCTTTCTTTGTGAAATATTTCTTGGAGGTTTATTTTGTGGAAGATACTATACTAATAAACAATTCCAATGAATTATTATTATTACTATTGCCAATCCTGGACCTTGCTAATCTGGGCCTAGGTGGTGTCCCTAAGCTCCTTTTGCTCAAGGCTAGCACCCTACTGCTTGAACCACAGCACCACTTCTGGCTTATTCTGTGATTAATTGGAGATAAGAGTCTTATGGACTTTCCTACCTGGGCTGGCTTTGAGCTGTGATTCTCAGATCTCAGCCTCCTGAGTAGTTAGAATTACAGGGATGAGCCTCCAATAAATTATTTTTTCATTACAAAACCCCTGTGAAGTAGTAATTTTTTAATTTTCTCAGTCTACAGATACGTGTACTAAGCCCAGAGAAGTTAATTTGAGAAAATTCATGGTGGATGAGCCTAAGTACAGCTCTAAAACTATGACTTTGAGCACTGTGTCATTAGTTAGTTAACAGTAGATGTAACACCCAGCAAACTTTTAAGTTTCATCCTCTATTAATTTGGCCCACACCTGTAATCCCAGCCACTGGGGAGGCAGAGGCATAAAGGTTGCAGGTTCCAAGGTCAGACTGGGCAAAGGTATTGAGATCTCATTTCAGAAAAATTTTTAAAAGGACTTAAGGGGTATGGCTCACGTGGTAGAATGCTTGCTTAGGAAGCAAAATAGTAGCCCTGGGGGCTGGGAAGGTGGCTCAGTGGTAGAGTGCTTGCCTTGCATGCCTTAGGCCCTGGGTTCAATTCCTCAGCACCACATAAACAAAAAGAAAAAAGCCGGAAGTGGCACTGTGGCTCAAGTGTAGAGCGCTAGCCTTGAGCTGAAGAGCTGAGGGACAGTGCTCAGGCCCAGAGTTCAGGCCCCATGACCGGACCCAAAAAAAAAAAAAAAATAGTAGCCCTGGGTTCATCCCTAGTACTACAATAACTGGATTATTTTATTAAAAATGGTGTTATGCTCTATGTAACATTTTAAAATCTAGATTTATTAGATTTCTAGTCTGATAAAGTGAACCTTTTATTAATAGGAAGTCTTTGACTTTTTTCCAGAGGATCTGAAGAGACAAAATGCAGTTTTACAAGCTGCACAGGATGATTTGGGACACCTTCGGACACAACTATGGGAAGCTCAGGCAGAGATGGAGAATATTAAGGCTATTGCCACAGTGTCTGAAAATACTAAGCAGGAAGCTATAGATGAAGTGAAAAGGCAGTGGAGAGAAGAAGTTGCTTCACTTCAAGCTGTTATGAAAGGTAAAGAGAAAGATCAGTTTTATGACTTCCTGAGGCAGCTGAGTTTCAGATTGTCACCAAATATATATTCTGAGTTTATTTGTAGTTTTATATAGTCTTATCTTCAAGGTTTTTCTGTCAGATTAAAGAATATAAACCCATTGTAAGTGGGTTTTTCATCTGTATCCTTAACAGATTTAAGGATAGCTACAGTGAATTAGATAGACAATGCATCACATGAGGACTATATAGTTAATTGTAAGATTTAATGCAAGGCTTAAAAGTAGATTTTTGTATAAAGGTCATGTGAATAAAGCTTTGGGCACAGGGAGTGAGAGTGCTGAACTGGATATGGCTGCCATGAAAAGTATTGAAGGGATTATTTATGTGTAACAGCTCTAGTTAATCATTGTTTCTCTAGTTTATTTTGTTGTCATGTTACTAAGACGTTTGTATATGAAATAGATATAAATGAATGACCTGTGAATTAGAATGAGCTTTATGGGCTGCCAGCATGTGACCCTTGGTCTGAGGAAGTGTGCTAGTCGAGAGTTTCTATCTCCTTTTGGGACAAATGCTTAATTATATTTCTGACAAGATGGAGACAAAATGAAGTATCCCCTGAATTTGGGATCCTGGAATTGGTTAACACTATAAATGTGAAATAATATTAACTCCCCTACCCCAATCTTTGCATCTGAGTGTCAGTTTTTGGCTGTAGTGGTCTTGGTGAGAAGACAGGTAAGGCTAACCCTATTATGCCTAGTTAACACATTAAGGGTCACTCTGGGCTTTGTGTAACATACCTGATTATAGCAGTTTACACAAATAGGATTCATTTTTCCTTCAGAAGAAGTCTAGCTGTAGGTAACTTAGGACTGGTTGTAATGGTTCCATGGTGTCACTAGCCTTCCAAGCTTCTGCAAGCCATCTTTTCTTCATCCTTACATGTAGCTTTCAACTTTGTTTTTGCTTCATACCAGAAAAAGGCTGCTACTTCTCTAGCCAACATCTGAAAAACTAAAGTGAAAGTTTTCCATGAATTTCCAGCATATACCCCCTCAAGTGTGTGGTTATAGATGACCATAACTAAAGGGAAACAAAATATATTTTTTATTTTTATATATTATTTTTGTGAGTCTTGTGCACAGTAGGCAAGTAATCTACTACTGAGCTACTTATCCAGCCTCTTAAATTGGGAACATTGATATCCTAAACAAAATTAGTGTCTTGTTAATAAAGAAGAAAAGTAAAAATTAATGGGCAATCAGCAGTGTCTATTACATTTTATTTTAAGGTATTTATTTTTGTGCTAGTCCTGGAGCTTGAATTTAGGACCTGGGCAGTGTCTCTGAACTTTTCTGCTGAAAGCTGGTGTTCTACCACTTGGAGCCACAGATCCATTTCTGGTTTTCTCATAGTTAATTAAAGATAAGTGTCTCATGGACTTTTCCTGCTTGGCCTGGCTTTGAACTACAATCCCCAGATCTCAGCCTCTTGACTAGCTAGGATTATAGCTTCAGCCACTAGTACCTAGCTTAAGATATTTTAAAGCTAAGGCTGGAGGTGTGGCTTAATTGGTTCAGTACTTACCTAGCCCTGAATTCAATCTTCAGTACTGAAAGAAAAGATAAAGCCTTTATCAAAGACTTTACAGAATTGGTCTTGATTTAGAATTTTGGTGTTTTGGTAAAATATTGCAGAGACGTAACTCTTTTCCCATTTTCAGGTAGTTAGATAGTGTGATAAGTGTTTGTCTTGAGAACCATAATGTTTTGTGTACAAACATAGATTTTGGAGTTAGTCTTAAGTTTCAAGTTCAACTTCTTGCTGGTTATGAAGCGAAGCAATGACCAGACTTTTACACTTTCCTAAGGTTTCTTATCTATAATATGTGGCAGAGGTTTATTGTGAAAATTAAGGATGATGATATTATTTGTCTACAGATAATGCTAGAATTGCTCTTTTTTATAGTGAATTAGAAGTATTCCAGGAATTAGGCATAAGCTCTATACAACTTAAAAAAATTGATATATCCCAGATATTTCCCCTACTGTTTTGTAGAAACAGTTCGAGACTATGAACACCAGTTTCACCTTAGGCTAGAGCAGGAGCGAGCACAATGGGCACAGTATCGAGAGTCTGCAGACCGGGAAATAGCTGACCTACGAAGACGCCTGTCTGAAGGACAAGAGGAAGAAAATTTAGAAAATGAAATGAAAAAGGTATGAAGGAACATGTTCTTCTATAGAAATATTTGAACGTAAACATAAAGCACTTCATCAAACGTTGTGGTTTATGTTTTCTGTTACAGGGAACTCTTAGTATACAGACATAGAAGATAGATAATCTTTCCCTTAATCTTCTTCCAATCTTGGGGAGCTGAGTCACCTCTTCAGGAAGCTATTCTCACTACTCTGTTTCACACTGCACCTTGCTTGTCTCCCTTCCCTAACCTCCATGCCTCTCCAGATTTCCTGTGTTCTGCTCACTTTTTCTCTACCATTTTTAATTATAAAACAAGACTTCACCTTTTTGTACTGTGAAATTTTTTTTCTACCTTTCTCTCTGCTAAAATGTAAGCTTTGTGAGAGTAGACCTCAATCTGTCTACAGCACAGTACTGGGAATTGAAGGTGCTTTACTACTGGAGCCACATCCAGCCCCAGACTCTTTTCTTTTTTTTTTGTATAGCCTACATATATACAGAAAAATGTAGCACATGGATGCTCAATAACTGTTAGGTCAAAGCAGTTGTTTGATGACTGTTTCTAAGCCAGTATTTTAACACTACATTTTCCTTCTCAGCATACCGTGATTCCTGTGTGACAAATGCTTCACATACTAATGTTTGAATATAATAGCATACAATGCCTGAACACAGTGGAACTAAATGAGACATTCACATTGAGAAAACCTAAAAAGCCTTTGGATCAGTTTGGTCTTATGAATTACTGTTTTACTAATTTAGTGCATAAATTCTTTTTTTTTTTTTTTTAAATTTTATTTTATTTTATTTGAGAACATACTGTACAGAGGGGTTACAATTACATGGGCAGGATAATGCATACATTTCTTACCAAGCATTGCATCCTCCTCCTTTGTTTACCCTTCACCTCCCTTCCCAGCCTCCCCCCTCCCTCCCACCCAATCATACCCCCCCTCCCCCACCCCCCCACCGACATTGTAAAGCTAGTTTTGACATGACATTTTGTACTTCTCATTGTTGCAACAGGTCCACCTGAATCCTTAAACGACTTGTTTGTCCCCGTCTCCTCCACATGTTATACTGACATCAAATATAGTGAAAGCAGGGGTTACACTGTGGGGGAGGGACATACAAAGCAACAAAGAAATAATCTTATAAATGCATTAGAAACACATGCATGAAAGAAACAAAAACATTAAAATACATATTTGAGGTTTTGTTTTCCTAACATCACATTATCTGACTTTTTCCGCTTGACTCATACCTATACTAGATATTGCAAATAAGGGAAACCATGGGACCTATGTTTCTTTGGGCCTGGCTTACTTTAGTGCATAAATTCTTTAAAACTCATTTATATATATATTTTTTGTCTTGGTCCTGGAGCTTGGGGCCTGGAACTGTCCCTGAGCGTTTGTGCTCAAGGCTAAGTGCTCTACCACTTGAGCCACGGTTCCATATCTATCCTTTTTTTTTTTTTTTTTTTTTTGAGTCCGGTTGTGGGGCTTGAGCTCTGGGCCTGGGCGCTGTCCCTCAGCTCTTCAGCTCAAGGCTAGCACTCTACCACTTGAGCCACAGCGCCACTTCCGGCGTTTTTTTCTTTTTGCTTATGTGGTGCTGGGGAATCGAACCCAGGGCCTCATGCATGCAAGGCAAGCGCTATACCACTGAGCCACCTTCCCAGCCCATCATATCTATCCTTTTTGGTGTTTATTTGGAGATAAGAATCTTGTCAAGGTTGGCTTTGAGGGCTGGGAAGGTGGCTCAGTGGTAGAGCCTTGCATGCCTGAGGCCCTGGGTTCGATTCCTCAGCACCACATAAGCAAAAAGTAAAAAGCTGGAAGTGGTGCTGTGGCTCAAGTAGTAGAGCACTAGCCTTGAGCTGAAGAGCTGAGAGACAGCGCCCAGGCCCAGAGTTCAGGCCCCATGACACCCCCCCCCCCCAAAAAAAAAAAAAAGGTTGGCTTTGATCTGTGATCCTCAGATCTCAGCCTCCTGAGTAGCTAGGATTGCATATGTGAGCCACTAGTTAGTGCCCAACTTTTAGAACAGTTTGATTAACAGAAAGGTAATGAAGATAGTAGAATTCCTCCTAATCTATTACATGCCCAGTTTTTCTTATTGATATATTAGCATAATATACTTGTCACATTAAGAAACATACTAGGTTAGAGGTGTGGCTCAGGTGGTAAAGTGCCAACTAATGAATGTATGCATCAGATACCGAGTTTGAATTCTGGTCTCAGAAAAATAAACTAATTTATTATTATTAACTAAAGGTCTATTGTTTGTATTTAGATCACATTAATTTTCACATTTTTTTCTGTTTGTTTTGTATTTTACTTCAAGGATTGAATCCAGGGCATCATATTGCACTAATAGACTGAATGACTTGCAGGCACCTTTTAGCTGTGAGAGTTTCTCAAGAGTTTCTTTGCTTTTAATGACCCTTCTGACTTATTTATTTATTTATTTCCATAGGTCTTTTTTAGCTCAGCCTGGGCTGGAACTTAATATGTAGCCTAGGCTGGCTTCAAATTCTCTTGATTCAGCCTTCTGAGTGTTAAGATCATAGGCATGTACAGCCATGTCTGGGTTTGTTCTATCATTTAAAAAAGTGCCCCTGATGGGGGGGTGGTAGAGAGGGAGGAGCTGGGGATGTGGGGAGGAAAGGGATGGTATGGGAAAATCAAAGGAGGGGGTAACAATGCTCCATAGGAAATGAGCTCATTACCTTGCTAATGTAACTGTAACCCCTCTGTACAGTATCTTTACAATAAAATAAATATATCCGTATTTTAAAAAGTGCCCCTCAAAAGTTTGCTAACAGAAACGTTCAACATTTGAAGTTGTAATCTCATATTTGTACTAATAAATAACTTGATAAATCCTCTGCTTCCTCCCTTCCTTGTTTTTTTCTCTGCTGATTCTTGTCAAATGACCTTATAAGCTTCCCAAACTAGTTCTATCTGTGAAGATATTTTAAACTAACATATCTTTTCCACATAGTACTTCAAAGCAGAATAGGTGATGACTTTGGTAAGGACCTGAAACGAATTGAATTCCTCTTTTTATATATTTTGAGAAAAAAATTCCCTTCCTGTTTTGGGCATAGATCATATTTTCTCAATGTTGAACAATTTATGGTAAGTTTAAGCTCATTTACATTCAGTGTTTATGGTTAATTTTCATTTTCATTAACAGGGCGAGACTAGCTTTTATGTATGAGATACTTTCTAACACACTTGCTCTGTTACTTAAGAAATCAAGGGATGTGTACAAGTCGTTATGTGGAAAAATGAACTTTACAACTTTGGTGGGAGGGGGAGGATTGGGGGTTTGGGGGGAGGGGAGGATGGGAAGGGTTAGGAAGGGGAAACAAAGGAGGAGGCTACAATGCTTGATAAGAAATGTACTCATTATCTTGCCCATGTAATTGTAACCCCTCTGTACAGTATTTTTACAATAAAAAAAAATCAAGGATGAGTTGATAGGATATGTCATATGCATACATGAATGTCATAATAAGCCCCCTCCTGTAACTAATGTAATACTGATTTAAAAATCTTTTAAAAATTAAAAGGAACTCAAAACATGTTGCATTGAATTAATTTCTCAAATTCACTAAAAAATTCTAAATGAAAAAATTGGGGAACATTTTAATGATTTGATATTCCTAGTAATGAACCATTTAAAAATTAAACTTAATTCACTTGTGAATAATTATAAAGTGAAGTGCCTAGTACTGTTATGTTACATTAATTTTTGGCACATTGGTCAGTCAAGAGTTTCTTAGAAATACAATGTATGAGTAAGTTGTATTTAACTCTTTTTAACCATAGGCTCAAGAGGATGCTGAGAAACTTCGGTCTGTTGTGATGCCCATGGAGAAGGAAATTGCAGCTTTGAAAGATAAACTGACAGAGGCCGAAGACAAAATTAAAGAGTTGGAAGCCTCAAAGGTTGTGAAACACTTGTAATATATCTGTCCTAATGCCTACAACAAAATTACAATCACAAAGGGAGGAAAGTCATTTAGACTATGGATTTGAAATATAGAAGAAAAAGAAAAACAGATTATTTGTCTTAGGACTTATTTAAAATAACAGAAATAACTGCAGTGAAGATAATTTTTCCCCTATAGATACTTTAATTATAATAATGATGCCTTATCATTAATGGTTACTTTGTTTCAAAGTTAATATTCATTTTCTTACCAATATAAGATTCAGTTTCATTAATTTTCCTGTTTATGAAAATGAACTGAAAACTTGACTTTGTTTTCTGATGCTAGCCTCAAACTTAATCTTTGAGAGATGATATAGCTGTACTATAGGTTAATTTGTTGGCCCATAAAGACACAACAGAGAAGATACTAAGGGAACATTGAAAATGTTAATAGTTCAATGAAAACAGGATACTCAAGGTCTTGCTTAATGGTAGAACACTATTTTAACCTCAGTCAATCAGTAAGGAAGGAAACAATGGAAAAAAAGGGTAAGCAAAAGCATAAAACAACAATATAGAAATAAATGTTAGCTTAGATTTTTAAAAAATTCAACTTTATACTGCTGATAAAAGATACATCTTGGGGCTGGGAAGGTGGCTCAGTGGTAGAGTGCTTACCTTGCATGCATGAGGCCCTGGGTTCGATTCCTAAGCACCACGTAAGTGAAAAGAAAAAAGCCAGAAGTGGCACTGTGGCTCAAGTGGTAGAGCGCTAGCCTCGAGCTGAGGGACAGTGCCCAGGCCCAGAGTTCAGGCCTCACGACTGGACCCCCCCCCCAAAAAAAAAGATACATCTTATAAACCACAAGATAATATTAAAAATAAGGGAATAGGTAAAAATGCACCTCCTAACCTTTAACTGGAAAGAAAACCAAACTCATATAAGCAAGTTTAATAGCAAGTAAATAGGATAAGGGAAAGATGAAATAACAGATAACAAGGGACTCTATCTTATAAACAGTAATTCAATAAAGCAGTCATGAATTTGAATGTACCTTACATTGTCTTAAAATATCTAAAAAGTAAGGATAAGAAGAGATTGATAATTCCATTACAGTAGCAGATTTAACCTTTATGGAGAACAAGTAGGAAAACAGGGTATTTTTATAAGAGTTCTGAAAAGTCAGGTTTATAATTTAGATTTAATAGACACACCAAACCCTCTCTCTATCCAAGAAATACATATCGTATTTTACAAAGTTGGAGAGCATGGTAGTAAAAAGGTGGGCATGTAGTAACCTAAGTGACCTTGGGCAAATTACTTACTGTGCTCTGGTTTTTCTCAACTGTAAAACAGGGATAATATGCCTGCCTGGCTCAGAATATTATGAGGATCATTCAAGTTAGTACATAGAGACACAGGATATTCACGGTAGAGCGAGCACCTGCTTAGCAAGTGCAGAGCCCTGATTTCAAACCACAGTACCAAAGAAATGAAAAAACAAAACACTTAGGATAGCACATGGGGCCAAGTATTATTTTCAGCTTACTTTTTGTAGTATGTCTGAACCTTATGATACATAAAACTTTTCATGTTGTCAACATTTTTCTGGAAGGTCAACAGATACTAAAGAACTGATATGTCAATTCAGTTTCCTAATCACAGATTATTTAATCATTTGAAATAGAATGATAGTTAAAACAAGATGACTAGAAATGAGAAAAATACTCATGGAAAAAAAATCACAAAATACTTACCTCAAGTTTATTTTAAAAACTACAAAATAAATGAAGGAAATAATACAAGCAAGAGAAGAAATTAGTTAAATAGAAAAGCAAAAGGCAATAGAAAATATTGACAATGAAAAATGAGAGTATTTCAATAGACATATCTCTAATAAGGCTATTAAGAGGACCAGCACAGTGGTGCATAGTCCTGGCTACTGAGATGGTTGAAATTGGGGACAATCATAGTTTGAGGCGAGCTCTAGCAAAAAAGTTACCAAGACTCCATCTCAGCTAACCAGCTGGGTGTGGTGATACTTGTGATCTCAGCTGTGTGGGAGGCATAGGTAGGAGGATTGTAGCCCTGGGGCCCTTTCTGTCAAAAAACACAAGACTTATCCAAAAATAACTAAAGCTAAAAGGGCTGGAGAACTCAAGTGGTAGAGTGCCTGCAAATGCAGTGTCTGAGTTCAAACTCCAATACTGCCAAAAAGAACAACAAACAAAAAAGACTAATCAGAAAAAGAAAATAAAAAGACAAATCATTAGAAATGAAATATAGGACATGATTACAAATCAGTAGATTTGAAAATAGTAAATATAATGAATAGTGTCATCCCAATAAATTTCATAAAGGAGAAAATGAAAAAAAAATTCTGGTAGGCATGGTGGTATACCTGTAATCCCAGCACTCCAGGAGAGTTCACAGCCAGTCCTGGCTGTGTAGCATGACCCTGTCTCAAAACAAAACAAAAACTGGAAAGGAAGTAATGGAACTGGTTAGATTGTCTAAAAAACGCAGAGAATGTACAATAGGTTATTAGAATAATAAGAGCCCAACAAATTGAAAGCCTTTTTGCTGAGATTAATACAGAAAACAGGTGTTGCTATACCCCAGTATTATCCAAGTAAAGAGTGCCACGGGGATAAAGTACTCTTATTTACAATAATAAAAATTCTTCTAGTTACCTAAGAATACATCTGAACAAATAGGCAAGATACTTATAGAATGCAATATAAATGGAGACCTGAGTATATATGTTCTTTAACCAATAGAACATGGTAAAGCAGTATGTCCTAGAATTAATTTATAAATTTGAAATCCAGCAGGATTTAATAAGGAACTTGACAAATACATCTTAGAATTCTAAAGAAAAGTAACAGATTTGAAATATACCCAGAAAACATTTTGAAGAAGGTAAGTTGGGGAGATTTGTCCTGCCAACCAGATAATAAGATAGAACCATATCCTTAGTTCACCCCTCTGTACTACCTTCCCCTGGTTGGGGAAGGGAGAAGGGGAGACAGTAAAGGTACTAAAATTAAGACAGTTACTGTTTTCTGCATAAACAAATGGACCAGTGAAACAGAATATTGAGCTCCAAGATAAACCTATATGTATGTGAAGATTTTGATATACATTACAAATCAATGGGGAAAGAACAGATTGCTTTAAAGTATGATTTTCGATATCCTAAAAAAAAGAAAAAAAGGAATCACAAAAAAGTAATAGGGAGGAAGCCTAGGTAGAAGTGGTGGAGTGTCTGCAAGTGCTATAAAAGGTTGAAGACTGAAGATATGGCTCAGGTGGTGCCAAATATGAACAAGAAAGAATGAAAGAGTTGAGTTCAAGTCTCAGTAGCAACACAAGAAAAGCTACAGACTGTGAGATATCTATGACCCATATACCTCATAAAAATTAATACTCAAAATTAACAAAAATTGCCAAGTTCCTAAGTGACAAAAAGCCCAGTAGATAAATACCAGAGAGTTGTAGCATCTGTCATCATATTGGACTGCCAGATAACTAGTTTAGTGGGTTCTGAGGTGACTTGCTACCACTTTCTTCGGATAATTTTTTTTTTTTTTGGGTCCGGTCATGGGGCCTGAACTCTGGGCCTGGGTGCTGTCCCTCAGCTCTTCAGCTCAAGGCTAGCACTCTACCACTTGAGCCACAGCGCCACTTCCGGCTTTTTTGAATTTTTTCTGCTTATGTGGTGCTGAGGAATTGAACCCAGGGCCTTGAGCATGCAAGGCAAGCGCTCTACCACTGAGCCACCTTCCCAGCCCATCTTCGGATAATTTTAACCAAAGAAGTAGTTTCAGTGGTTTGTCCTCACTCTTTTTCTTTGTCACTAAGGGTGCAGAACTCATCTCAAATACTATGCTGTTACTTGCACCAGCATCCAGAAGTTCTCAATAGCTTCCAAATGTTAGAAACTCATCAATTTTTTTAGTTGAGTAGAAAAATAACATTAATAGCTGGTAGAATTAGTGGTTTGTATACTACCATTTTCTATGTGCCCTATTGATGCCTTACCATCACCTAGTAACAGGTCAAAGAAAACACAAGACTCATTACTTCTCCATGCTGGCTTAGTGTCTTGTTGGCTGACATTACACTGATCCTTAAATAATCATTTTAGTCTCTGACTGTTAGTCTGTTATGGTCAGATAAGCCTGCCAGTTTAAGTTTAAAGAAGTAGGAAAATAAAAGGCATGAAAATGACCTTGAGTATTAAATCAGATGTAACCATTTGAAAAAGAATGATAAGTAAATGATAGGAGGTTAGCATGGACAATTTATATAACACAGGAAAAGAATTGGCCTAGGTTTTCTGGGGTAGTATTCCTTTTTTGGTTGTAGCATATCAAATATTAGGTTGAATTGTTAATATTCTGAATATTGTAGGAAATTGTTCAACAAAAAGAATTATTGAAAATATGAGATTTTAAAAAGCATTCTATGGGGCTGGGAAGGTGGCTCAGTGGTAAAGTGCTTGCCTTGCATGCATGAGGCCCTGCGTTCAATTCCTCAGCACCACATAAGCAAAAAGAAAAAAGCCAGAAGTGGCGCTGTGGCTCAAGTGGTAGATTGCTAACCTTGAGCTGAAGAGCTGAGGGACAGCGCCCAGACTCAGAGTTCAGGCCCCACAACTGGCAATAAATAAATAAATGAAAATAAAAAGCATTCTATGCTTGCCCAAGTATGACACCAATTATTTTTCCTATCATGACTTCCTCCTGTAACTTCTCTGAACCTCTGTGTTGGTCACAAATCCTTCATTTAATAAATATAAGTAATTTGGAATGACTTCACCAGATATCAAAGAAAAACAGTTATTAGAATGTAGTAGTATTTTTCATTGAAATGAACTGAAACGTAACTGAAAAACTGGCACATGCATATTACTTTAGAAATTCAAATTAGAACTACTGTTTTTGAAAAGCAAGAAAACTTATATTAAGTCAGGAGATAGGATTATGGATAACACCTAGTATTATGCTATAATCTGTATTTTATATAATGTGTGCTTTTTAAAAATTCAGATTTATAGTTTCTCTCTCTCTCTCTCTCACTCACTCTCTCTTTCTCTCTTTTTTTTGGCTGGTCCTGAGGCTTGAATTCTGGGCCTGGGCGCTGTCCCAGAGCTTCTTTTGTTCATGGCTAGTTCTCTACCACTTGAGCCACAGCACCACTTCCAGCTTTTTTGAGCAGCTTATTGGAGATTAAGAGTCTCACAGACTTTTCTGCCTGGGCTGGCTTGGAACTGTGATCCTCAGATCTTAGCCTCATGAGTAGCTAGGATTACAGGTGTGAGTCCTGGTGCCCATCTGTGTTTTATAATTAATACTTGGAAATGTTGCTCATAACCTGACCTATGGAATTGAAAACTCTTTGCACAACTGCCAAAAAATTTTTAAAAATTTAAAAAAGTATAAACGTTAATTTTTATACATGCAAATTTATGTAAAAGTGAATACAAGATTCTTTCAAGAGCTTACCTTTAAGGTTTTTTTTAACTTATATTTTATTATTTATATTTGTCGGTTGTGGGACTTGAACTCTGGACTTAGGCACTGTCGCTGTGCTCTTCAGCTCAAGGTGAGCACTCTACCACTTGAGCCACGGCACCACTTCTGGTTTTCTGGTGATTAATTGGAGATAAGAGACTCACAGACTTTTTTCCCCGGGCTGGCTTTGAACTGCAATCCTCAGATCTCAGCCTTCAAGGAGCTAGGATTACAGGTGTGAGCCACTGGCACCCAGCTGAACTTATATATCTCTATCTCTATCTCTATCTATCTATCTATCTATCTATCTATCTATCTATCTATCTATCTATCTATCTATCTATCTACCTATCTTTTTTTTTTTTTTTTTTTTGGTCCAGTCGTGGGGCCTGAACAGTGGGCCTGGGCGCTGTCCCTCAGCTCTTCAGCTCAAGGCTAGCATTCTACCACTTGAGCCACAGTGCCACTTCCGGCTTTTTTCTTTTTGCTTATGTGGTGCTGAGGAATCGAACCCAGGGCCTCAGGCATGCAAGGCAAGCGCTCTACCACTGAACCACCTTCCCAGCCCGCTGAACTTATATTTTAAATAGAAACTTTTAAGTAATCTTAGTCCTTGCCGAGGCAGAGGCAGAAGCAGAAGCATTATGAGTTGGAGGATGGCCAAATGAGTTCAAGGCCAGCATGTGATACATAGTGAGATGTTTTCTCTCTCCAAAAAATTTTTATAACTCTCAGTTTGATAGAATTGTGTCTTTTTTCAGGTTAAAGAACTGAATCATTATTTGGAAGCAGAAAAATCTTGTAGAACTGATCTAGAAATGTATGTTGCTGTTTTGAATACTCAGAAATCTGTTCTACAAGAAGATGCTGAGAAATTGCGCAAAGAATTGCATGAAGGTAAATATATGTTGTGTATGTTTTAATTTTAGTCTCTAAGATGACTATGTAAGTAAAGTTAGTATTGACTAGTAACAACAAACTGTAATACCAGTGTCATATATTACTGATTCATTTTAAGCATTGTAGTCTGTTTGAAAGTTCTTGTGAAGAGCTACAGCTGTATTACTGTGGGGACTAAGATTGTTAGTATCAGATATTTCTTCTGTGACCTCTGTAACAACTTTGCAAGGCATGTGGTGTCACAAAGTTACTAAGCTGAAAGTTTCTGTTTAAATTGGTTTTGTCTATTCTCCCATTTAGGTGAAGGTGGATTAGTAAAATCGAGAGTGAAATAGAGGCACAAAGTATATTCTGGAAGCCATGTGTAGCATCACTTTTTTTTTGATGGTGTAATGAAGTTTGAAATTAGCTTTTTACTTGCTGGACAGGTGCTCTACCACTTGAGCCATACCCCTGGCCAGTGTGGACTATGATCTTCCCATGGAATCACAGCTACTTGTCACCACACTGACTTGTACTGGCTGAGATGAGGGTCTTGATAACTTTTTGTCAGCATTGACTTTGAATGTCAGTGATCCCAATTTCTGTCCTCCCAAATAGCTAAGACTACAGGCAATAGCCGCCATGCCTAGCTTAATACACCTGTTTTTTAAGAGATGGTTTTGATTTCAGTAGTCTAATATAATGACAAATTGACTCTGTATTTCCTAAAGCAGTTACCAAACTTAAAAAGATTAAAACGAAATTAAAAAGAAAATTCAAGTATGTTTTTAATGTGTGTGTGTGTGTGTGTGTACACATGTGTGCTGGGTGTGCTGGAACTAGGCCTTGAAAACTCAAGGTCTGGCACTGTCCCCTAGCTTTTTTTCAAGGTTGAGCCACCATTCTACTTCTGGCTTTTTGTGGGTTAGTTAGGAAGTCTCTTGGACTTGACTGCCTGGGCTGGCATTGAACCTTGATCCTCAGCTCTCAGCCTCCTGAGTAGGATTGCAGGTATGAGCTACCAGCACTCAGAAGTTTTCATAGTACATAAATAACAAGGTGTAGCAAAAGTTTTAATAATTACTTATATTAAAGTACTGATAAACATAAATTAAGATATCTGTAACAACTGGTAAAATACGAAAGCATCTTTGATTTCTATTGGTCATAAATATGGTTTGTTATACTATTATGGTTTATTTACTAAATTTTACAATAGAAAGGGAAAATTTTGGTTAAAGGATGATGAAAATCTAATTTTTTCAACCTTATTTAAATATATGGACCTCTTAAAATTGTATGCTTTTTTCCTAGCATCAGGCTTTGAACTCAGGGCCTTAGGCTCACCTGGTGTTCTGCCACTTGAGCCATACCTCTAGCATTGTCTTTTTGCTACTTAATTGGAGATAAGAAAGACTTTCTTGGACTTTACTGCTTGGGCTAGTTTCAAATCTATATCTCCAGGTCTCAGCCTCCTGAATAGCTAGGATTACATGGATGAGCAAGCCACTGGTATCTGGCAAAATCTTGTATTTGTTTCACATTATACCAGCAACATTTTAATATGTAGGATCTGAATCGTGTTGATAGCTATCTGTCTGTCTGTCTGTCTATCTATCTATCTATCTATCTATCTATCTATCTATCTATCTATCTATCTATCTATCTATCTATCTATCTTATTATGTGTGTGTATGTGAGTGGTTGGTACTGGGGTTTGAACCCCAGGTCTAGTATTCTGTTTTCTTTTTCACTCAGGGCGGTGCTCTGCCTCTTGAGCTAGTTCTAACTTTTTCCTGGTTAGGTGGAGATAAGAGTCTCAAAGATTTTTCTGCTGGCTTTGAATCTCAACTCTCAGATCTCAGCCTCCTGAGTAACTAGGATTATAGGGTTGAGCTGGTATCAGCACCCAGCCCCTACAATGAATATTTAAAATATATAAAATACTGTGGAAAATATAGTTATAATTTTGGTTTACATATGGGTTAACTCCCCTTCCCCCCAAAAGAAACCTGAAATGATAGCTTACAAAATTATTTCATAAAAGTGAAAATAATTCAATCTTTGAGTGTCTATATGAGCTTCAGGAAAAGTTTCAAATGTGCTATTGTAGCCTTATCCTATACTAATGGGTGTCCAAAAGAAATAGTATTTCTCTTCAAACTTTATACCCCAAACCCTTTTAGAAATAGTGAAAGTCACACCAGGTGCCGGTGGCTTATGCCTGTAATCCTAGCTACTTAGGATGCTGAGATCTGGGGATCACGGTTCAAGCCAGTCCAGTCAGGAAACTCTGTGAGACTCTTTTCTCAAATAAACCACTAGAAAACCGGAAGAGGTGTTGTGGCTCAAGCAGTAGAGCTCTTGCCTTGAGCTGAAGAGCTGAGGGACAGCACCCAGGCCCAGAGTCCAAGCCCCACGACCGACAAAAAAAAAAAAAAAAAAAAGAAAAGAAAGAAAGAAATAGTGAAAGTCATTGAGACTATTAAGTTTTTCTAATAAATCTGAGAAAAGTTACCAAGAATGTTAATTAAAGTGAAAAGAAAATAGAAAAGGAATAATTTCTATACTAATCAATCACACCAAAAAACAGTGTCTTTAAATGAAGACAGATAAAAACAGATCAGTAGTGTCACTTTCAGCCTTGCTCAGGGGTGCTGGGTATATAACCAGTTTACTGCAACTGCCTGTTATAGGAGCTGTGTGGAAAGTGTGTTAGAATGCAGCAGCATCACCAATGAAAATTGGCAATTCCTTTTGTTCTAGAATCTGATGGTAGTTACATTCCTTAAATTATCCTTTTTTTTTTCTTTTCTGAGATGGTGTTTCATCATTCATGATGTTACTCAGGCTCGTCTCAAACTTGTAGGCTCATATAGTCCTCCTGTCTCAGTCATGAACACCCACTGTGCATAGATGAAAGAAGTTACTCTTGTGTGTGTTTGTGTGTGTGTTTGCGCGCGTGTGCGTGTGTGTGCACACACGCGAGTATGTGCACATGCTAGTCCTAGGGCTTGAAATCAGGACCTGAAGGCTATGGCTCTGTCACTTGAGTTACAGCCCCACTTCACTTTTGGCACTTTGTTAGCCAATTGGAGTTAAGAGTCTCACGGCTTTTCCTTCCTGGGCTGCTTTGAGCCACAATCCTCAGATCTCAACCTCCTGAGAAACTAGGATTACATGTGTGAGCTTCTGGCTATAGGCAAGAAGTTACTCTGAAGTGGAGTTTAGATTCTTGGTTGTTTTTTTTTTTTTTGGTCGGTCCTGGGGATTGAACTCTGGGCTTGGGCTCTGTCCCTGTGCTCTTCAGCTCAAGGCGAGTGCTCTACCGCTTGAGCCACAGCGCCGCTTCTGGTTTTCTAGTGGTTTATTGGAGATAAGAGTCTCAAGGAGGGGCTGAGAAGGTGGCTCAGTGGTAGAGCGCTTGCCTTGCATGCATGAGGCCCTGGGTTCGATTCCTCAGCACCACAAAAGCAGAAAAAAAAAAGCCAGAAGTGGTGCTATGGCTCAAGTGGTAGTGTGCTAGCCTTGAGCTGAAGAGCTGAGGGACAGCGCCCAGGCCCAGAGTTCAGGCCCCACACATGGACCCCCCCCCCCAAAAAAAAAAAAAAAAAAGAGTCTCAAGGACTTTCCTGCCTGGGCTGGCTTTTAACCGCGATCCTCAGATCTCAGCCTCCTGAGTAGCTAGGATTACAGGCATGAACCACTGGTGTCCGGCTCTCGTTTTGTTTTCTGAAGTAAAAGTTTAAGTGTTTTACTAAGTAGATTTTGGAATGATGATTAGGTATTCCAGGTAGTCTGAGAGGAGCAGGGCAAGCTGGGCCATTTGCATGTAGCACATGCAGCTAGCTAAGGAAGGCTAAGAGAATAGTTTTGTTAGATGTGTGGTACACATCTGTAATCATAGCACTTGGAAGGCAGATACCTCACAAGTGAGTTTAAAGGCAGCCTAGGATACATAGCAAGACCCTATTTCAGAAAGGGAAGAAGAGGGGAGGGGAGAGGAGGAAAGAGAAAGGAAGGGAAAAAGGGAAAGAAAAGGGGAAGGGAAAAAGGGAAAGGGAAGGAGAGGGAAGGGAGAATGGAAGGCAAGGAGGGAGAGAAGGGAAGAGAGAGAATTATAATTCAAGAGTCAATAGGCAGAATATGTTATTGGAACAAAGGACATGGAGGCCTTATGCTTACTAAGGATGTTGGAAGGGATTTTTTTTCTTTTGTTTTAAAAGAAGAGCTCTGCCCCCCCCTTCCCTCCTTTCTTGATATAATTCATTCTTATCCTTTTAGAGTATACAAATATAGCCACAAGAATGTGCATCATCAACCATTGTCTAATTTCAACACATTTTCATTAACTCAAAAAGAAATTGTGTATCCATTTGCAGCCACTCCCAGTGTTATTTCCCTTCTGTCCCTGACTGTGATAATCTACTTTCTGTCTATGTGGATTTGCCTCTCCAGATTTCATATGGGATTTTAAAATATGTGCCCTTTAGTGTTTAACTTCTTTGAAGGGTTTTAATAATGATATTAGTTTTTCTTGAAAGTTCAGTTTGATAGCTATACAAAGGATGAAAAAGAGTGGGCAAGATTGAGGGAAGGAAGAATGAAAATGTAATTTGTAGTAATGGCAGCTGTTGTAGTTGTCTTCGGTCACAAGGGCTGGTCTAAGCCAAGCTCCTACTACCAAGGAGACAGAATTCATAACTGTCTTTGTTGGATGTGTTAGGGTAAAGACAAATCAGAAGTATCGCAAGTTTTGACTTGGGTAGCTGGGTTGATAGATGGTTAGATGGTGCTTGCTTTTTCATACTTCATTGTGAGATGGCTGAACTAATGGTGTTAGCAACATGCATTTTTGCAAAGAATTCCTTGACCTATCCTGAGAAGTCTAACCCGAATAGGCCCAAGAGGGATTACAGGATGACAAATATGATTTATCACGATGTATTAAATACAATTAGGAGTAGATTCTATACATTGACTTTAGAGCAACTGTTTCCCAAACTGTGTTCTTTGCACACTTGTTATTTGAGTCAAGCTATGAAAAATTGTTTTTTGTCCGACAAATTTGGGAAATACCATATTATATATCACTTTACAAGAAAACACAGACATGGTTCAAATTTCAAAATCCTGCAATAAAGAACTCTTACAATTTTTATTTAACCTAAGAATTCTAAAACTAGTGCAAAAGTATTAATTTCATATGTTCCTGAAAGATTACTTTGGGAGACTGCACTGGAACAGTGATATGGGGATAACTATCATGTTTGTTCAACTATATATTGCCCGTTGGTGCCAGTCAAGGGCAGACTCCAGACAGAACTGGCCAGATCTAGTCTAGTATCCCTATACGAAAGAAATTGTCTACTATTAAAATTCAGTGTTTTTGATTGGGGGGGTTCCTAAACAGTTTGCCATCTCTTGGAGCAAGAGCGACAACAGCACAACCAGTTAAAACATACATGGCAGAAGGCCAATGACCAGTTTCTGGAATCTCAGCGTTTGCTTATGAGAGACATGCAGCGAATGGAGATTGTGCTAACTTCAGAGCAGCTCCGACAAGTAGAAGAACTGAAGAAGAAAGATCAGGTGAATAGCAGTTTTGTAGGACTCATTTACATTGTTAATAAAACACCTCCATCCCCAATGATTGCATTACCTTTTGTGTGTTAGAGATTGACTTAAAGTGGAACAAGGTGGTGTATGCCACTTTACTGTTGTTGTTGTTAATATTACTATATTTGTTTAATTGATTGCAGTGTTGGTATTAGGGATTAAATTTAGGGCTTTGCTCATGTTAAACAAGTACTCCTCTATCAAGCCACATTTCCAGCCCCTAGATTTTTTTTCTTTGAATACAACCTAAGAAAAACATAATAGTTGGATTTGAGTGATTTTGCTTTTCGCTTTACAAATTACTCAGGAATTATTCTTTTTGGAGATTGCAGGATGAAGCAGTACATATTTCTGAGAAAAATTTTTCTTCGATTTTTATAGGACTCCTAAATCTGGTCAATATAGACCAAGTGTTTGGTCGCCTTGCCCTAAAAATGTGATTAATAGGTGACTGGATAAGCCAGGTGCCAGTGGCTCATACCTGTAATCCTAGCTACTCAGGAGGCGGAGATCTGAGGATCACAGTTCAAAGCCAACCCAGTTAGCATAGTTCATGAGACTCTCACCGAATTAGAGCTATGGCTCAAGTGGTAGAGTGTTAGCCTTGAGCACAAAAGCTCAGCTCTAGCATCTCAGTTTAAGTTCCAGGACACATACACAATGTTGACAGGATACAGTTGGGTATGGTGGTACACATCTATAATCCCAGTACATGGAGGCAGGTGGATGTGTGGTTCATATGATAAAGCACCTGCCTGGCAAGTACAAGGCCTTTAGTTCATTATTACCCCCACCCCCCAGGCCACCACCACCACCACTGGAAAAAAAAGAAATGGCAAAAGGCTGAGTGCTATGTTAAGAAAGGATGTGGGCTGGGGATGTGACTCAAGAATTAGAATGCTTGCTTACCATGTGTGAAGCCCTCAGCTCAGTCCCTAGCATTGCAGGAAGAAAGAGGAAGTGGCAAAGAGGAGGGAAGGGGGAAAGAGAATAGAGAGGAGAATGGGGTGGGGAATATAATAAAGAAGTGTAAGTCCCTCCAAACATAACCTCATTTACCAATTTGGTAGAATCTTCCAGACCAGTTCTGTGTTTATAAGCATGTTATAAGCATGTACTTATAAACAATGTGTATTATCATACTGTGTATTTGTTCTAGATTCTTTAACTTATTTTCCCTTAAGCATTGTCCTAGATATCTTCCCTTTCCCTTTTCCTTTCCCTTTCCCATTCCCTTTCCCATTCCCTTTCCCTTTCCCTTTCCCTTTCCTCCCCCCCCCCCCCTTCCTTTCTTTCTTTCTTTTTTTTTTTTGCCATTCCTGAGGCTTGAAGTCTGGGTCTGGGTGCTATCCTGAGCTCCTGAGGCTTGAAGTCTGGGTCTGGGTGCTATCCTGAGCTCTTTTTTGCTTAAGGTTAGAGCACTACCATGTCAGGCTTTTACTGGGATTAATTGGAGATAAAAGCCTCATGGACTTTCTTGCCTGGGGCTGGCTTCAAACCACAGTCCTCAGATCTCAGCCTCCTGAGTAGTTAGGATTACAGGTATGAGCCACTGGCACCCAGCTTGAATATATTTTCATGAGAGAGTTGTAGCTCATTCTGGTTAACTGGTAACAGGAATGTATAGTAATTTGTAGATCCAGATCCATCTTTATTTTGTCCCCATACCTTTTGTCATCTGAGATATTGTTACAGCACTAATAACTTTTGCCATGTTGTGTATGGCTACAAAACTCTCTAGAGTAGTTATGTAAAAGTGTTCATTGCTTTTCTAGGTATTTTAAGATTTTGTGTGTGTGTGCACGCATGTGTGTGTGTGTACGCATGTGTGTGTGTGTGTGTGTGTGTGCGCGCACGCGTGCGCCAGCGAGTCTTGGAGCTTGAACTTGGGGCCTAACATTGTTGAACTTTTTGCTCAAGGCTGCTGCTCTTCACTTGAGCCACAGCTTTCTTGGGTAGTTAATTGGAGATAAGAGTCTCATGGACTTTCCTACCCAACCTGGCTTTGAACTATGATCCTGAGATCTCAGCCTCTTGAGTAGCAAGGATTTCAGGCATGAACCACCACTGCCCAGCTTTTTTTTGGGGGGTGGGGTGGGGTCCAGTCGTGGGGCCTGAACTCTGGGCCTGGGCGCTGTCCCTCAGCGCTTTAGCTCAAGGCTAGCGCTCTACCACTTGAGCCACAGCACCACTTCTGGCTTTTTTCTTTTTGCTTATGTGGTGCTGAGGAATTGAACCCAGGGCCTCATGTATGCAAGGCAAGCGCTCTACCACTGAGCCACCTTCCCAGCCCCCACTACCAAGCTTTTTATGACTTAAATTAGATTTTATTTTATAGAAGTTTCTTTTTCAATTGTTTAGATCATCTGTGTGAAGACACTGTCAGCCTAAGGATTTAAATTCTAAAATACAGATCATATCATGCCTATTTAGCTGCCCATTACAACTGTCTAAACTTTATCTAGATGGCTATTGAAGGCATTTATTAATGTTGATTGAGAGATCTTACATGTGCCAACATTGTGCCAAGGCATAAAGCTTTATCTCAGACATTTCTCAGAAAAGAATAAAGCTTTCCATGTGAGGTAGGCACTACTGAATCATCCTTATGTGGTAGATCAGGTGATGAGGTAAAGGCAGTTCTCAGGTTTAAGCGAGTCTCCGATTGTAGAGTCTAAGCACTTAATCACCATTTCCTCCTTCCTCTCCCTCACTTCTCACGGACCTGCCTCCTTTTCAGTTGTGAAGTTAATTCAGTATTTCCCCACAGATATGTTTGTTCAGACCTTTGTGTTTTGAACATGCTTTGTTCTTCCCTGGAATCCTTTCCTGTCTCTTTTCATGCAGTTGCCAAACTCATCTTAGTGATCTTCCCAGATGCAGCTGATGTGTTGTTATCTTCTCTGGGTCTCCTTAGCTGGCTCCCTTAGATGAAATAAGTCTGTTTTTCTCTTTTTGAAGAACCTTACACATATTATAATGGTTTGTTTATCCCCCCTCATTAGACTATCTTGGAAGAGCATAGAAGGTATCTTATTCATCTCTGTTGCATGAAGTATATCACCTTTGATCATTCCCTTTGTATTTCATATAAATCTGTTCTTGGTTCTGATGGGTGTGTAATGTCATGATATTTGTTTTCTGCAATAAGCAGAAGGGAATGTTTTTATGAATATTACTTTGGATCATTTAAAGAGGAATTAGCTTTGCTTTATTTTATCTTACTTAGTTTTGCCGCATACTTTTGTAAAAACTGCTTCCTGATTTCTTCTTTATAACCGTTCTTACCTAGTACTTATTATAATAATTACAAAACATATAAGCCTAAATGTCTGATACCATAAAGCTTTGTTTTTCTTAGTTGTTTTAGTAATAAAAGAACTACTTGACCCTTAGTTGTATATGGTGGTACACACCAACACTACTCAGTAGGTGGAGGCAGGATAATCTCAAATTTTGAGGTCAGCCAGGCAAAATTGCTGAGACCTTATTTCAAAACAAAAGGGCTGGGTGTATAGCTCAAGTGGTAGAGTGCTTGCTTAGCATACTCGAGGCCTTGGGTTCAATTCCTAGTAACAATGCCCTTCCGCCCCCTCTGCGCCCTCCTTCTTCTCCGCCCCTTCCCCCCCCCCCCCCCCCCCCCCGCTTAAAAAAATCCTATTTGACTTGTTAAGTTATAATAATGTTTTTCTTCTAATTTTTAGGAGGATGATGAACAACAAAGGCTTAATAATAAGAGAAAGGATCACAAAAAAACAGATGCCGAGGAAGAAGCAAAAATACCAGTAGTGTGTGCTTTAACTCAAGAAGAATCTTCAGCCCAGTTATCAAATGAAGAGGTACAGTGAATCTGAACTCAGAACTATTAGGGACTTAGATTGTGGTTTGGTGTTAGAATACCTGCCTAGCATGTACAAGACCCTAGGTTTAATCGCTAGTACTGTCAGAAAGCAAAATAAAGTACAACAAATATCGTATAAGCTTAGTACAACAGCATGTGCCTATTATCTTAGCACTTGAGAATCTGGGGTTGGGGTGGCCCGAACTTAGAAGTTCTATGTGTTTCAAAAAACCTCACAAAAACAACACACACACACACACACACACACACACACACACACACACACACACACACACACACACACGATACACACGGATGTATATATAATACAGCATCACCATCTTTTACTTAATCATATATTGTTCAGTTTCATTGTTTCTATGAAAAGTGAGTAGTTGAAATGCCAGTATTTTCAGCCATTTTTATGGCATTATAATAGTATTTGAAACATTTTTTTTTGTCGGTCCTGGGGCTTGAACTCTGGGTCTGGGCACTGTCCCTCAGCTCTTCAGCTCAAGGCTGGCGCTCTACCACTTGAGCCACAGCGCCACTTCCGGCTTTTTCTGCTTATGTGGTGCTGAGGAATCGAACCAAAAGCCTCAAGCATGCAAGGCAAGCGCTCTACCACTGACCCACCTTACCAGACCTAGAATAAAACTTTATGTCTACTACAAAATCTGAGTTTTGATGTGAATAATAAATATTACTTTGAATTTTTTTTAAATTTGGTTTTGTTTTGATTTTTTGATTTTGAGACAGGATCTTACCAGTAGCCCAAGCTAGCCTCCAACTCAAGAAAGATTCTCCTTCTCTGGCCTCCTCCTTACATGCTGGGATTACAACCATGCACCACCACATATCGTTGTAGTATTAGGTCTTAAGTTGTTTTGCTTTTGTGGGTCATGTGCCTTGAACTCAGGGCTTGGGTGCTGTCCTGGAGCTTTTTCATTCAAGGCCAGTGCTTTGCCACTTTGAGCCACAGATCTACTGGGTAGTTAATTAGTGGTTAATTAGAGATAAGAGTCTCACAAACTTTCCTACCTGAGCAGGCTTTGAACTGTGGTTCTCTGATTTCAGCCTCTTGAGTAGCTAGGATTATACGTGGAAGCCACTGACACACCCAGCAGGTCTTTCTGAGAACAGAGAGTCAAGTTTGACAGATTATGGTGAGACCTGGTGGAACATTGCACATATTCGAAAAAGGATAGAGTGGAATTTTTTTTAAACAAAAACGTAATTTTATTCTTATTAAGGTATTGTACAGGGGGTTTATTATTTCATAAGTCAGGTAATGAATACAAATCTTTTTGGACAATTTCTCCCCTTCCTTTGCTTTCCCCCAGTTTCCCCCTCCTATTCCTGCCTACAATTTGCACAGTTCATTTTATGTATAGTGTGTACCGAATATCATGACTGCATTTATTCATACTTCTTCCTTCCATTTCTGCTCTCTTCCTTTGTCCCTGCCAGAAAAGACCAAACAAAAAACAAAAAGCCCACTAACAAAAACACACTCCACCATCACCAACAAAAACTCCATGTTTCCATTTCCTGGAATTCATTTTGATAAATCGCATTTTAAATGTTGATAGGAGTTTTACTTTTGAGTTCTACCCCGAAGGGCATCCTCCTTTATTCTGACTGTGTGTGTGTGAATGCCTGGAGTTTTGTAATGGTGGAGAGGTTCTGAGGGGGAAGTAGTGCTCCTGTGGTCTCATCACCTTCACCCTGAGTAGTACATGGGCCTCCACATTGCTCCTGCCTTCATAGTCTTACACTCTGTTGTACCCTCTGCATTACTGTCAAATACATTTCCTTAAGAGTAGGTGCAGTAGTTCACTCCTCTACTCAAAAACCACCAGTGGTTCCCATTACTTCAAGTGTGGAGTAGAAATTCCTCAGACTTTTGGTGCTTTATAAGAAGGATACTGTTAGAGACATACTGGTTTTTCTCTTGGGCCATGTTCTCCTCTTCCCCTGTTGCAGTGTTCTTTCATCTGGAGTGCTTGGCTCCCTCAGTCTTTCTGAGTGTTGAAATCCTTTTACTGTGTCTTCAAAGCTCATGCTGGTATCTCTTGTTGAATGAAGGAAATGTGTTTCCCCTGTTATTATTTGGCTTTCTCAAATGTCCTTTTAGCTATATCCTCTGCTCTCCCTTCATTACTACCAGGCCTATCTGCTACAGACAGGCCTTGTTTATACTGCCTCTGATACAGAGAGTTTCATACTCATGAGGGCTAAGGATGTTGCTCAGTGGTAGAGTGTATCCTTAGTGTTTATGAGGCCCTGGGTTTGATCTATAACAGCATATCCTCCCTCCGCTTCCTACAAAGTTCCCAACTCCTGCCTCCTTTACCAGCCCAGTGAACAAAGCTCAGTTAAGTTGAATAAAGGCCTTTTCTTCACATTCAGAAATACCACACTTTGGGACTGGGAAGGTGGCTCAGTGGTTGAGCGCTTGCCTTGCATGCCTGAGGCCCTGGGTTCGATTCCTCAGCACCACATAAGCAAAAAGAAAAAAGCCGGAAGTGGCACTGTGGCTCAAGTGGTAGAGCGCTAGCCTTGAGCTGAAGAGCTGAGGGGCAGCGCCCAGGCAGAGTTCAGGCCCCACAACCGGACCCACCCCCCCAAAAAAAACAAAAAAAAACCCCACACTTCTACTTAGTTTGCAGAGTTACTCTGAACCAAGTATAAATTGTTTTCAGACAGTGTGATATCGAAAAGCTTTTTTTAAAAGAAAATATTAGCAGACCTGAAAACTATGATGCAGTTGTTTTTGCACATTCTTTGGTTTGGAATGTACTGAGGACCTCTTGGCCTAATTTTATGTACTTCTTTTTTAATAGACTCCCAAGAGAATGTCTCAAGTTTTGGGTACAGCCAAATATTACATGATTTTTGCATCATGCATTCATGTATCCAAGAATGTTTGAAAAGCAAGAAAACAGAAAAGTAAATCTTGTGATTTACAGTAAAATATTTTCTTACTTTTGATTGTTTTAATATTTCTTTTTTTGGGGGGGTGGTTCAGTTGTACGGCCTGAACTCTGGGCCTGGGCGCTGTCCCTCAGCTCTTCAGCTCAAGGCTAGTGCTCTACCACTTGAGCCACAGCGCCACTTCTGGCTTTTTTCTTTTTGCTTATGTGGTACTGAGGAATCGAACCCAGGGCCTCAGGCATGCAAGGCAAGCGCTCTACCACTGAGCCAACTTCCCAGCCCTGTTTTAATATTTCTATGTGACAGAGTACATAGCATTACTTCCCAACATTTGAAAATTTTTTTATTAGACATTTAGGTCTGATACTTTGTGCTTTGAGTCTTGAGTAAAATTGTTTTGTGTTTAGAATGCTGACAATTTACTTCAGCTGGTAGATTCAGGTGTGTATGAAATTATATTTAAAGTTAAAATTTATAGGACCACAGGTATTTAACCTGATGGATAGAATATGCTTTCTCACTACAAAAGTAGTATGAATATGTTCTGGAAATTCTGGAGTTCAGAAAAGGCCATACAAATAAAAATAACTGGTAGCTAATTCTGCCACTCCCAGAGATAACCATCTCTACATTTTGGTATGTATTTCTTCCTTTTTTTTTTTTTTTTTGTGCTGGTCCTGGGGCTTGAACTCAGGGCCTGAACACTGATTCTGAGCTTTTTTGCTCAAGGTTAGCACTCTACCATTTGAGCCACAATTCTACTTCTGGCTTTGTGCTGGTTAATTAGAGATGAGAATCTAACAGACTTTCCTGCCTGGGCTGGGTTCAAACTGTGATCCTCAGATCTCAGCCTTCTGAGTAGTTAGGAATATAGGTGAATCCCTTGGTGTCCAATTCTTTTCTCCATTTTTAAGATAACACAATTATGTTTCTATTTGTACTTTTAAAATATGCTGTATTTTGTTTTCTGGGTACCTTCCCCACTTAAGTCTACTTGAAATATTTTCCCAAAGAAAGCTGTTTAATTGCTTACAGACTTTCCATATGTAAATTTATGTATAGGTTTTACTGTATAAGGTTGACTGAGACAGCATGGGTAGGTCAGTACCATTAGAAAAAACAGATGTTACACTGTCTGTTTGAACCCAAGGCCTAGTACATCTGAATTAGTGTTCTACCACAAAGGTACATTTCTCACTCGTGATTCCTCTAGGAATCCCTTGCTGGGTGGCCTGAGGGAAAGCACCAGGTAGAAGGAGTGAGGGGAAAGTATGGACTGCAATGTTGTTGGGGTTTCTAGGGCAGCAAGTAAGATCAGGGAATGGCTTAGGACTAGCTAGTTGGGAAAATTCCCATAGGCTTTAGGGTAGAGGGATTCTTTTCTTTCTTTCTTTTTTTTTTGGTCAGTTGTGGGGCTTGAACTCTGGGCCTGGGAGCTGTCCCTCAGCTCTTCAGCTCAAGACTAGTGCTTTACCACTTGAGCTATAGTGCCACTTCAGTTTTCTGGTGGTTTATTGGAGATAAGAGTCTCACGGATTTTCCTGCTCTGGCTGGCTTTGAACCACAATTCTGAAATTTCAGCCTCCTGAGTAGCTAGGATTACAGGTGTGAGCCACCAGTGCCGTACTAAGAGGGATTCTTTTTATGTATGTATGTATATATGTTTGCATGTATGTAGTATCTACTGGTTTCTGGGATGTTTTAGGACAGGGGCTATAGCGACTTCTCAATGTGAGTTAGATAAAGTAAGTGCTTGGAGGTATGAGTTTGAGGTTGGTTGGTTTACACATGAGAGACATGTTCATAGTAAATGAGTTAATGTCTCTAGGCTTCTGCTAGTTCCAATACCTAGTCACTCCCTAGCTAGCAAGGCTTCCAAGATAACAAACATCATGAAGTGTAGAAAATAACAAACACATGGATGTGGGTATACCTCAGTGGTGGATTGCTTGGCTAGCATGCACAAGTCCCTGGTGTCCCGTCTTAGCACCATAAAACAAAACAAAACACGAATTAACACACAGAGGATCAAGTTGTTGTTGTTGTTGTTTACTATCATAAAAATTCTCATTAAAGAGGTGTGCTCAAGCAGTTAAGTGTTAGCTGGGCAAAAAAGCCTCAAAATAGTGTGAGGCCCTAGTCCCACCAATCCAGTCCCCCAAAACATTGTCATGTTCTAATGCACTATATATAGTTTCTCCCTGTACAAAAATCACTTTTTGCCAGGTGCTGGTGGCTCACATCTGTAATCCTAGCTACGCAGGAGGTTGTCCCCAGCTAGAATGGATTCTTATTCCAGTATTATTAGATTATTTATTTAGGGCCTTTCCCCTCATTAGCTTAATATAGACTAAGTTTGTGTTTTTATCTGAATTTGATAGGAGTAAATGTTTTTGAAAGATATGGAGGAATGAAATCTACTTCCTTGGCTATAACTGAGTGCTTTTTTTGTCTCCATGAACTTGTGTTCTGGATAGATTCATATCTTATGCTATTGGCTTCTGGTTTCTTTTGCTGTGTTCCATAATTAATGTGTTTGTTATGCCATGCTTGAAACTTGGCTCCAGAATATCATATTATTCTCTTATTCTGGCTACTTTTTCCTCTGCTCATCTTCTGAATGTTGGCGTTTTTCATTACATTGTCTTTGGCCCTTTTATGTTACACATTAATTTTAGGTGTTCTGATTAGCTCTATGCCTTTAGTTAATTATCTTTATACAATGATAACTCTAAAGCCTCTGACCGAAGACTTTCATGTCCATCTGTCAGCTGCACTCTCTACTTGGATATTCAAAGACAACACATTGGGCATTCTCAACGCTGAATTGGATGTGACTTACTCCAGCTCATGTTTAGGCTAAATTCTTCCTCTTGAGTCCCCAGAGCTTGCACTTCATCGGTTAAACACAACATGATTTATTTACCTATCTTTTTATGAAACTATAATCTTGCTCATGTTTGTATTCTGTGTGCCTGAAATAGTGCCCCCCCTCCCCCACAGAGAAGACAATAAATGTTTGGTCATGATTATAAGAAGACAGCATATTAGTGATCATCATGTGTAATGTATGACAAAATACTTCTTCTATATGGTAGTTTTTATCTTTCAAGATAGTGTTAGAATCTAACTTAGCAATATATCTATTTTCAAATTTCAGGAGCATTTAGACAGCACCCATGGGTCAGTCCATTCCTTAGATGCGGACTTACTTTTACCATCTGGAGATCCATTCAGTAAATCGGACAATGACATGTTTAAAGACGGACTCAGGAGAGCACAGTCTACAGACAGTTTGGGAACCTCAGGCTCATTGCAGTCCAAAGCTTTAGGCTATAACTATAAAGCAAAATCAGCTGGAAACCTGGATGAATCTGATTTTGGACCCCTGGTGGGAGCAGATTCAGTGTCTGAGAACTTTGATACTGCATCCCTCGGATCATTGCAGATGCCAAGTGGGTTTATGTTAACCAAAGATCAGGAAAGAGCAATCAAGGCAATGACACCAGAACAAGAGGAGACGGCGTCCCTCCTCTCCAGTGTCACCCAGGGTATGGAGAGTGCATATGTATCTCCCAGTGGTTACCGCTTAGTCAGTGAGACAGAATGGAATCTTCTGCAAAAAGAGGTGAGTGATTTTATTGGATTTCTATTGCTTATTTCTTGTCATAAAATTGTTCAGTTGTTTCTCTTGGTTACTCTGAGTGACCCTAGGTAGCTCTGAGATTCATTGTTCATTTGGTTGTTAGTGGAGGCCATGCTGGCACGTGTTGCCAGCAAGTAAGAACACAAATCATCTACCCCCTTGTGGCCTGCTTTGGTTCTTCATGTAATTCTGGTAGAGATGGCAGCTAGCTAGCTAATGGTGTTAAGTGTGAACTTCTTCACCTGAGGTCATGCTGAAGTTGGAGCAACTGCCTGAAGAACATTGCTAAATTAGAGCAGACCAAATTTGGTTTGTTTTGTAGTTTTCTAAAATTTGAGTATATTCCAGGATTCATACTCATTCTTCTTTCCTTTAGTTCTGAAATGCAAATGCTTATGAGCAGTTGATACAGAGTTAGTTTAAGGAGAGGATGGAAAATGGGGAGGGAAAAGAGGCAACCTTTAATGAGGGTAAGAGTATTTGCAAGCTTAAAAGATTAGGAGATAAGAATTCAAATAAGTGTTTGCATAATGTTTTACAAAGCCCTTTCACATACCTCATCTCTTTGAGTTTTATGACCATAATTAGGCAACCAGGGCATGTTTGTCTGCAGTTTACCAGTGAGGAAATTGGCTCAGAAAGATTAAGCATTGTTCAAATGTTCCTCTAAGGCCTACTTTAGCACTTAAGTTTTCACTCACTCTGGGATCCTTCTCTTTTTTTTTTTTTTTTTTTTGTTTTTTTTTTTGGGTCCGGTCATGGGGCCTGAACTCTGGGCCTGGGCACTGTCCCTCAGCTCTTCAGCTCAAGGCTAGCGCTCTACCACTTGAGCCACAGTGCCACTTCCGGCTTTTTTCTTTTTGCTTATGTGGTGCTGGGAATCGAACCCAGGGCCTCAGGCATGCAAGGTAAGCACTCTACCACTGAGCCACCTTCCCAGCCCCTGGGATCCTTCTCTTGAAAGAAGCACTTGGTCAATGAATGGGACAGCCTTTTAAGCCTGAAAGAAACTATTCTCTTTGGTTTCATATAAAATTTCTCTCAGAAGGTGCTACTTAATAGTTTCATACTTATTGTGTAATTGGAGCTAGTGAAATGGGGACTTGGGATATGTTTCTTATATTCCTTTCCTGTTGATTGAGTAGTATTGATTTTCTTGCTTTGTATTTTCCTCAGACGTGTTGGTGGTAAGTTGTGTCCCTTGTGTCCCTGCTTCTTGTACTAGAGATGACTTTTTAGAATCTGATTGTTATTTTGACTTCTTCTAAGTTCCTGGAGACATTGCTCACTTCATACTGTGCTTTAAATAAGATTGCATGTATTTGTCAAGTATGTTATATAGCATTATTTTGTTCTGCCTGATAAGAGGTAATTTTGGTGCCCTTCAGGTACATAATGCTGGAAATAAACTTGGTAGACGTTGTGATATGTGTTCCAATTATGAAAAACAGTTACAAGGAATTCAAATTCAGGAGGCTGAAACAAGAGACCAGGTGAGTTTTATTTGGATATGCCAAATTAGTGAGCTGTTGCAGTTTTCATTAGAGGTACAGAATTGTCTTTCTCCCTTTTGCTTTATGAAGCATTTACCTTGTTACATTGTGAAATAATTTTTCACAGAGAATGGCAGCTAAATTTCCAGTGGGAGTCCTTTGTGTTCCTCTACTTCCTTAATGTTCCAATACCACACAGGTCAGCTCAGCTCTTAGAGGAACACTGCCTCATCTCCTCTCCTTCCTCTTCTACTCAGTGCCTAAGCATGAAGTCGGCCTGCTCTCTACACAGGGAATCCTTTATGATCTAGAGACTAGGGAGATAAAAGATTGATTGTTGTCTCCAATAGGATACAAACTTTTTTTTTTTTTTTTTTTTTGAGTCCAGTGGTGGAGCCTGAACTCTGGGCCTGGGCGCTGTCCCTCAGCTCTTCAGCTCAAGGCTAGCTCTCTACCACTTGAGCTATAGCGCCACTTCCGGCTTTTTTCTTTTTGCTTATGTGGTGCTGAGGAATCGAACCCAGGGCCTCATGCATGCAAGGCTCTACCACTGAGCCACCTTCCCAGCCCCTAGGATACAAACTTAATTGAATGTCATACTAATCAGAATGTGGAATTTTTATTGCTTTTTTGTCATAAATTTATTGGATTGATTAATGTTTACTTGAAGGATCACAGAATACTTTCTTTGGTATATTTGTTATGTTAAGGTTGACAAGTCTTAAGTACTTTGCCAAATATGGTGTTCAATAATTTGGTACATTGATGACATTTAGTAAATGATGTAGAATTTCACAAGAGTACACTTGTGAAAGCACATACAAGGAAAAGGTAAACTTTTCCATTCAACTTGCTAATTGTGCTTTGATTGCTGTGAAGATTATTGCCTTGGTCTTCAGAAGAACTTTAGGCTGAGTAGAATGACAGTGCAGCAATTTCTAATGTCATTGGCATGAGTTCCTCCAAAGTTAAGAAAGAAAGTGAGATGGTTAGAAAGTTCACATGACTGGGCATGCTGAATTAAACAATAATGGGAGAAGAAACCCTAAGGAAGATCAGGAGGAGCTACTTGAAGAGGGCGATAATTGGAGGGATTTACATTTAACCTTGATGACTTTTTGGAGACAGTTTGGGCTTTTATGTAGAAAACTTATTTCCCTATTATAAAATGCATGGTCTTCATGGGGATGTAGATTGGAAGGAGAGGATAAAATATGAGGCCTGTACTAGAGGACCAGTGGAGAAGCAGTTTTCAAATGAGATCATGTATGTGAAAAAATTATTTGCTAACTGTAAAGCCCAGCACAGTTGTCTCTTGAGGTGTTTCCCTTCTCTCTCTCTCTCTCTCTCTCTCTCTTTTTAAATGGACAAGTCTGGGATATTGCTCAGAAAAAAAGATTTTAAATTCTAGCCAGGCACCGGTGGCTCACACCTATAATCCTAGCTACTCAGGAGGCTGTGATCTGAGGATCATGGTTCAAAGCCAGCCCGGGCATGAAACTCTGTGAGATTCCTATTTCCAATTAACCACCAGAAAACCAGAAGTGGCACTGTGGCTCATGTGGTAGAGGGCTAGCCTTGAGCTGAAGAACTGAAGGACAGCGCTCAGGCCCAAAGGTCAAGCCCCATGAACCCCCAACCCCCCAAAAAAAAATTCTGAGAGAGAGAGAGAAGGGAGAGGGAGAGAGAATGTTTGTGTGTATGTGTGCGCGCGTGCGTGCATGCTGGTCCTAGGGCTTGAACTCAGGGCCTGGGCACTGCCTCTGAGCTTCTTTTGCTCAAGGCTGGCGTTCTACCACTTGAACCACAGCTCCATTCCTGGAAATTTTTTTTGAATTTTTTTTTTTTTTTTTTTTTTGTAGTTTATTGAAGAGTCATGGACTTTCCTTCTTGGGCTGACTTTGGACCATGATCCTCAGATCTCAGCCTCCTAAGAAGCTAGGATTACAGGCATGAGCTAGTGGTGCCTAGCTCTTGTTCTTATATTTTAATTTATAAAAGAATTCTGAGGGCTGGGAAGGTGGCTGAGTGGTAGAGTGCTAGCCTTGAACTGAAGAGGCCCAGGCCCAGAGTTCAGGCCCTAGGACTGACCAAAAAAAAAAAAAAAAAAAGGAATTCTGGGCTGGGGATGTTCAGTAGCAGTACATTTGCTTACCATGTGTGAGGCCTTAGGATTAATCCCCATTAACACACACATACCTCTGCTGCTTCCTTCTAACTGATTCTTAAAATTATATAGGTGAAAAAACTGCAGGTGATGCTAAGGCAAGCTAATGACCAGCTGGAGAAGACAATAAAAGATAAACAGGATCTAGAAGACTTTATCAAACAGAGCACTGAGGACTCAAGTCACCAGGTAAATGGCATTTTAAAAATGGGACCCAGGGGCTGGGAAGGTGGTTCAGTGGTAGAGTACTTGCCTTGTATGCATGAGGCCCTGGGTTCGATTCCTCAGCACCACATAAGCAGAAAAAGCTGGAAGTGGTGCTGTGGCTCAAGTGGTAGAGTGCCAGCCTTGAGCTGAAGAGCTGGGAGGGACAGCACCCAGGCCCAGAGTTCAGGCTCCATGACTCACCCCCTCCTTCCCCCAAAGAAGGACCCATAGTGATGATTAAGTTAGATTTAATAATTCAGACAATATAGTCATGTTTTAACCGGAAGATTTGGCAATTTTCTCTCTGAGATGAGTGCTGGTGGCTTATGCTTTTTTTTTGTTGTTGTTGGTTGTGGGGCTTGAAATCTGGGCTTGGGTGCTGTCCTTTAGCTCAAGGAGAGCGCTCTACCCCTTGAGCCACAGCGCCACTTCCAGTATTCTGGTGATTTATTGGAGATAAGAGTGTCACAGACTTCCCTGCCCAGGCTGGCTTTGAACCGTGATCCTCATATCTCAGCCTCCTGAGTAGCTAGGATTACAGGCATGAGCCACTGGCATCTGGCCTCCTTTAAATTTTTTAAGGCACCAAATACATAGGAAAAAACAAGCATATACAAGAACTAACATCTGTGTAGCCACCACTGAGATCAAGTGTTGCCAAGTTTCCTCACCACTCACAGCCCCTTCCTTCCCCCACTGACAACTGTCCTAACACTACAGACTAACATTTGAGAAGAGCCTTCTAGCATGTTCTTTCCGTACTGTTTCATTGTTGTGTGGATGTACCTTTCTGTGGATATACCATAGTTCATCTGTGCTAATGTTAAGGTATGATTTAGTTGTTTCCAGTACTAGAATATTAGGAAAAATATTACTTTGGAAATTTCCTATAGGAGTGATGAACATGTTTCTTCTAGGAATAGGATGCATAGGTCAGAGTGTTCATCTAGATGTTTGAAATAATTAGTAAGTTAAGCTTTAATAATATAGTAATGCCCAGCAGTTTTCTAAAGTGATTACTCCCACCAGCAGTGTATGGGAAGAATCCAAGATCTTGAAAACTTCATTTTGTTAATTATAGTCATTTTGATGTGTGTTTAATAAGTGATTTGTTGCATTGGGCTTCGTTTGTGTTTCTTTGAGAATCACTGAAGCTATTTAGCATGTGTTGGGTCTGGCCTTGTGTGCTAAGCTCAGCTTGTCCTGGCTTATATACAGAAATAGGGATCCCATAATATTTGGCACTTAGGAGTCTTGTTTTTGGCAGTGTGGGCAGAAAGTTTTATCTCCTGTACTGTTACAGCTTCATATCATAGAATAAAGAAGAAAAGAACAAACACAGGAAACCCAACTCTTGTATTAATCTTATTCTGGTTTGATTTCTCTCCCAAATCTGTCTTATTTTACTGAAATATGCACATAGTAAAATGCACAGCTCTTGTGTAAAGTTTGGTAAGTTTGACATGTGAGAAATGTTACCAGGCTGATCGTCTCCTAGGCAAAGATTCAGATCCTTTGTCAACTCATGTCCTTTCAGGCCAGTAAACACCTCACATCTCATGTTATAAGTGGCCACTGTTCTGACTAGACACTGTCTTTTAATTTTAGCTTATTCTTGAACTTTCTTTACATGGAATCGTTATAGCATGCATTTGGTCTCTATGGTTCATCTATATTCTCCATATTAGCATTTATTTTTAATGTTTTGAATATTCTTTTACATTAACATACTATTATATAAACTACAGTTGAGACACTTAATTGTATGTAGCTTTTGGCTGTTGTAAGAGTTCTGGGAGTATTTTTTCACCTGTCTTTTGGTGTACATGTGAGCTCATTTCTTTTAAGTACTTCTGGAAATAATGAGTGGAATTACAAGGTTGCTGCTTAGGCTTATCTTAACTCTGTAGATACTTTCATTGCCAGTATTTCTTCAGATATTTATACATTAGGCCCCCCTGCATCTATGTTATCTTTTGACTTCTTTATTTCTTGTCATTTCATCTTCATTTTCTTCAAATTTTTTCTTTCACTTTTTTTCAAATTCATCTTATTTATAAACATATCCATTGACTTTTTTTTTTTTGGGGGGGGGGGGAGGTCCGGTCATAGGGCCCGAACTCTGGGCCTGGGCGCTGTCCCTCAGCTCTTCAGCTCTAGGCTAGTGCTCTACCACTTGAGCCACAGCACCACTTCCGGCTTTTTTCTTTTTTGCTTATGTGCTGCTGAGGAATTGAACCCAGGGCCTCATGCATGCAAGGCAAGTGCTCTACCACTGAGCCACCTTCCCAGCCCCTCTATTGACTTTTTGTGTGGGTGCATGTGTGTATGTGTGCAGTCTTGGAGTTTGAACTCAGGCTTGTGTGCTATTTCTGAGCTATTTTTTCCCCCGTTAAGTCTTAGCACTCTACTTGAGCCACAGCTCTACTTTTGGCTTTTTTAGTGGTTCATTGGAGATAAGAGTCTCGTGGACTTTCCTGCCCAGGCTGGCTTTGAATGTCAGTTCTTATATCTCAGCCTCCTGAGTAGCTGAGATCTCAGGGGTAAGCCACCAGTGCCAAGCTAAGGAATTGATTTTTTTTTTTCTTCAGTGTATTTTTGCCATTTGCTCTTCATTACTTCTATTTCTCTGTCAATCCAAATTTTGTCTTTAAATCTTTGAGTAAGACAATTGGACCTGTTTCTGTTGGAGACCTGTTTCTATTGTCTTGTTTCTTTTTATTTTGAATTTCAGTGCTGCATATTTTATATAAAAATGATTGCCATAACATAAAACCTGGGATGATGCCATCTTATGAGAGATGTGATATACAAAATCAAGTTATAGGAACTTGTGAAGATTAGATTATTTTAAATTGTTCCCTTCCTCAAGGGTGTGGCCCTTTGGGGATCCAACCCAACATACAGGATGTTCAGCAGGGGTCCCTTTCTATGGTGCATCCTGGAATCTTCAGTATACCTGTGAAGCTTCCCAGCTGTTTCCTTTTGAAATAGCAGGGACTTCTAAACAGGTGTTTCACATGCTACACTCTGCTCTCCACATGTCCTCAGCCCCAGCCTTTGTTCTTCAGTTCCTTTTTGTTAGTTCTTCAATGTCTTCAAGTAGATATAGTTACTGTTTTTTTATTCAGCTTTCCTAACTCTTAGTATATTGGTTTACAGCACCCAATTTCCCTCTTAGAAACAGATGGGTGAGGAGAGAGAAATATGGCTAAGTACTTTATACACATGTATGAAAATAGAATAATGAATTCTGTAAGAGATTGCTTTAAAAGTGGAGAAGGGGAGATAAGAGAGGAATGGGGTAAATATGATTGAAGTTTTATATATAGGTATTTTATATATAGATACTATATATCACACTGAATCTTCTTGTGCAGCCTCCTGAGTAGCTAGGATTCAAAGCCAGCCAGGGCAAGGAAAGTCAGTGATACTCCTATCTCCAAGAAACCACTCAGAAAACTGGAAGTGGCGCTGTGGCTCAAGTGGTAGAGTGCTTGCTTTGAGCTGAAGAGCTGAGGAACAGCGCCCAGGCCCAGAGTTCAAGCCCCATGTCTGACCAAAAAAAAAAAAAAAACCAAAACATTAAAATTAATTCAAAAGAATTTAGAGTTCAGTGGTGTTAATCATACATAATTAACATTAATTAATAAGGCCATCTTGGGTGATTGTAGCTAGTTTGGATAAGATTTATCTTTTGAAATGTGTGTTTGTTTGTTTGTTTTTGGTATAGATAGTTGTTTTTGTTGTTGTTGTTTTTTCTGTTTTTTGTTTGTTTTCTTTTTTGGGTCTGGTCGTGGGGCCTGAACTCTGGGCCTGGGCACTGTCCCTCAGCTCTTCAGCTCAAGGCTAGCGCTCTACCACTTGAGCCACAGCGCCACTTCCGGTTTTTTTCTTTTTGCTTATGTGGTGCTAAGGAATCGAACCCAGGGCCTCAGGCATGCAAGGCAAACGCTCTATCATGGAGCCACCTTCCCAGCCCCCTAGATACAGTTTTAACTTTATTGATTTTTTTTTAGCCCCTTAAAAAATATTTATGACTATTAGGTTATATGGGTTCTCATCTGTATAGAGACCAAACAGTGGTATGCTACAACTGTCCACTTGTGGACATAGAGTAATGAGATGGCAGGGCTGGTTTCAGAATAATCAGTTTGGTAATTGTCTTTCATGTGTGTATTTTTATTAAGATCTCTGCACTTGTCTTGAGAGTCCAGGCATCCGAAGTTTTACTTGAAGAATTACAACAAGGCTTTTCTGAGGCAAAGAGAGATGCCCAGGAGCAGATGGTGAGTCTACCTTTAAATACACTTAAGGTGTATTTACATTTGAATTACATATATTTATGTATTTAAATACATATAAATTGTATTGTTATATTTAGCCTATTCTATTTTTTTTATTGTGAAAATACTGTACAGAGGGGTTACAATTACATGGGCAAGATAATGAGTACATTTCTTATCAAGCATTGTAGCCTCCTCCTTTGTTTCCCCTTCCCATCCCTTCCCTTCTCCCCCTACTCTATTACTTTTTGTTGTTTTAAAATAATCTTTTCTTTTCCTTTGGTGATACAGAAGTTTGAACTCAGGGTCTTAAGCTAGTTGGGCTGGTGTGATAACATTGAGCAGGGCTTGGGAAGGTGGCTCAGTGGTAGAGCGCTTGCCTTGCATGCATGAGGCCCTGGGTTCGATTCCTAAAGCCCCACATAAGCAGAAAAAGCTAGAAGTGGTGCTGTGGCTCAAGTAGTAGAGCGCCAGCCTTGAGCTGAAGAGCTGAGGGACAGTGCCCAGGCCCAGAGTTCAGGCCCCATGACAAAAAAAAAAAAACGCCAAAAAACACAAAAACCCAAACATTGAGCAGTGACTCCAGGTGAAATAATCATTGAAATAACTATCACCCTGATCAAAGTGGTTACTATTATATTCATTGGGGCACATAGACCATCTACGGCAGACAAGTACTATACACATTATTCTTTTTTTTTTTTTTTTGTCAGTTGTGGGACTTGAACTCAGCCTGGGAGCTGTCCCTCAGCTCTGCAGCTCAAGGAGAGCGTTCTACCACTTGAGCTATAGTGCCACTTCTGGTTTTCTGGTGGTTAGTTGGAATCAAACCTAGGGCCTTATGCATGCGAGGCAAGCACGCTACCACTGAGCCAGTCCATAATGTGTATTTTTTGAACCAGAAGCCTAACAGAGATCACATATTGCATTTTGTTGTCATATCTTTTATTCTAGAACATAGCACCATTTGTTGTTGTTTTGAGGCTTTTCCTGTGTAGCACAGGCTGGCATTGAACTTTTTGATCCTCCTGCTTTCAGCTTCTCTGGTGCTGGGATTGATTACAGGTGTACATCACCACCTAATTGCTCCATCAGTGTGCGTGTGTGCGTGTGTGTGTGCGTGCGTGCGCACACACGCTTAAACTCAGCCTAGGTGCTGTCCCTGAGCTTTTTCACTCAAGGCTAGTGTTCTACCACTTAGAGCCACAGTGCCATTTCTGGTTTTCATTTTATTTTTTATTGTGAAAATACCATACAGAGGGGTTACAGTTACATGAGCAAGGTAATAAGTACATTTCTTATCAAGCGTTGTTGCCTCCTCCTCTGTTTTTCCCCTACCATCCCTGCCCTCCCATCTCCACGTCTATACACCCCTCTCTCCCCCCCCGCCCCCCATTTCTGGTTTTCTAGTGGTTAATTGGAGCTAAGAATCTCACAGACTTTCCTACCCCAGCTGGTTTTAAATTGTTTTCTCAGATCTCAGTTTCTTGAGTAGGTAGGATTACATGCATGAGCCACTGGTGCTGGCTTTCCTCCCTCCCCAGTTTTAAAGTACTGGGGATAGGGATTGAACCCAGGGCTTTGCTGAGCAAATGTTCAACCCCTAAAGCCACACCTTTTGTTTTTAAGACAGAATCTTGCTACCCTTTTCCTTGAACTTATGTTCTTCCTGCTTCTGTCTTTTTTTTTTTTTGTCGGTCATGGGGCTTAAACTCTGAGCCTGAATGCTGTCCCTCAGCTCTTCAGCTCAAAGCTAGCGCTCTACCACTTGAGCCACTGTGCCACTTCCGATTTTCTGAGTGGTTTCTTGGAGATAAAGAGTCTTACGGACTTTCCTGCCAGGGCTTGCTTTGAAACCTCAATCAATTCTTAGATCTCAGCCTCCCTAGTAGCTGGGATTACAGGTGTGAGCCTGCTTCTGTCTTCTAAGGACCTAGGGTTATGGGTATTTATCACCATATCTACATGATTGAACTTTTTTTTTTTGGTCTGGTCCTGGGGCCTGAACTCTGGGCCTGGGCACTGTCCCTCAGCTCTTCAGCTCTAGGCTAGTGCTCTACCACTTGAGCTACAGCACTACTTCTGGCTTTTTTTCTTTCTGCTTATGTGGTGCCAAGGAATCGAACCCAGGGCCTCATGAATGCAAGGCAAGTGCTCTACCACTGAGCCACCTTCCCAGCCCCTCAATTGCGTTGAAGAATGTTTTATGTCAGTTGTCTTATAGAATTTTTTTTTTTTTTTTTTGCTTGTTTCCTCATGGTTCAACCTAGGTCAGACATTTTGGCAATACTACATTTCATGTACTATATACATGAAATGAATTGCTGGGAAAGTCATAATATCATAAGGCCCCAGAATGATCAGTGATTCCATCATTCCAAAATTGAACTTCTGTTTATATTACCAATTAGATACATAGTTAACAACTTTTGTTTTTGTGTTATAACAGATTTGCACTTTTTGTTGTTGTTTTCTTTTTTGGTGCCAGTCTGGGGTTTGAAATCTGGCTGGTGAGCTATCCCTGAGCATTTTTGCTCAAGGCTAGTACTCGACCATAGAGCAACAGCTCTACTTCCAATTTTTTGGTAGTTACTTGGAAATAAGAGTTCCATGGACTTTCATGCCCAGGCTGGTTTCAAATTGTGATCCTTAGATTTCGGCCTCCTGAGTAGCTAAGCTTATAGGTATGAGCTACTGGCACCCAGCTGTACTTTTCTCTTTTGATTACCTTTTCTGAATATGCAGTCTGATTTATAAATCAAAAACTAAGGGTATAAATACTCAAACTGCACTTCTTCTACCTGTCTTTTGTACCGTTTCCATTCCATGCATAATTAATGGAATTTGGTTTTGGCTTGTCCTTTTGTTTTTCCTTTTATAAAAATAAGCACCTCCCTCTCATCCCTAAAAAGGAAGAAGCAGAAATTTACATACATGTTCTTTCCCTTTTTTCATATACAAAAGGTAATGGATACTAATATTTTGTTGTAGAATTGAAAGTGATCATAAAGCACAGGTGACCCTAGCTTGAAACAAAAAGGACAGGGGCTGGGAAGGTGGCTCAGTGGTAGAGCACTTGCCTTGCATGCCTGAGGCCCTGGGTTCAATTCCTCAGCACCACATAAGCAAAACAAAGAAAAAAGCCACAAGTGGTGCTGTGGCTCAAGTGGTAGAGCGCTAGCCTTGAGCTGAAGAGCTAAGGGTGAGGACAGCGCCCAGGCCCAGAGTTCAGACCCCACGACTGAACCCCCCCCCCCAAAAAAAGGGACAGCAGTGGAATCTAACTAAACTTTGTACTTATTTTGTGTTTTAGAATGTAGCTTCACCTCCCCCGAAAAATGTTCTGTAGCCCTCTTCATAGCTTCTCCCTTAATTAAGTGCCACTTGGTTCTTTCATTGCTCACTACCCGTGTTTTTTTCTGTTTTTGATTTTGGCAATACTGTTAGGGCTTCATGATTGCTAGGCAGGCATTCTATCATTTAAGCCAGAATTTTACTTTTTGCCCAGGCCACCTTACAGTACAGTCCTTCTATCCATGACTTCCATATAGCTGCAGTGACAATTGTGAACAGCCATTCCTGGCTTGTTTGTTGAGGATGTGTCTCATTAAAGACCAGTCTTTTTACCTGAGGAAGCTTTGAACTGAGATCCTCCTGATCTCTGCCTTCTGAGTCACTGGATTATATGTGTGAGTCACTGAGACAAGAAAATATCTAGCCTTTGTGGTAGTATTTTATGACAGTGGAGGGAAGTTTTTGGTTTACTTACCTTTCTCTTCTACTGAACCCTGAGCTTCTCCAGGACAAAATTTGCCTTTAGTCTCTGTATTTCCCATGGGCAGATAACTAGCAACCATAGAGTTGGATGGGTATGTATGTGTGCCCATACACTAATGAGTTAGTATTACAAATAGGCACAAATCTGTTGGGCACTGGTGGCTCACAACTGTAATCCTAGCTATTCAGGAGGGTAAAATCTGACATTAGAAGCCAGTCCAGGCAGGAAAATTTGTGAGACTCCTATCTCCGGTTAACCACCAAAAAAGCCAGAAGTGGAGCTGTGACTCAAGTAGTAGAGCACTAACCTTGAGCATAAAAGCTCAGGGACAGTATCCAGGTCCTGAGTTCAAGCTCAAAGATGAGCACCTCCCCCAAAAAAAAAAAAAAAAAAGAAATCACTTTACAACATTTTAGCTCAAATTAATTGAAATAACTTACATTAAGAGAAAATATGAACTAGCTAAAATTATTTTATATATAAGCAAACAAAAAAATAGGAGCATTTTAAGAATAAGCATATCAAGTGCCATGTGAACTGAGCATAGATCCTCCTGCAGCATGAGGGCTGCTGGCCATTCATGATGATTCTGGGTGGGCTAGAGCAATGTCCATGTAATAGGAGATGAAGATGCTGCTTTGTTTCCTATACTGAGAATCAAAAAAGTTCTGAGCTGCTTTTGAACAAGGCTCACAACTTTATAATGGACCCCTCCATATGCACAGCATCATTTGGTCTGGCCTTGTGTTTCTCTGGCATGGCTACCACCAGACCTGATTGACTTTTTGCCTGTGGTTGGTATCTGTTTCCATTCCAGGCTGTGCTGATGCAGTCACGGGAACAGGTTTCAGAGGAGCTGATGAGGTTACAGAAGGACAACGACAGCCTTCAAGGAAAGCATAGCTTGCATATGTCGCTACAGCAAGCAGAAGACTTCATCCTCCCGGACACTGTGGAGGTAATGTGTGGCCTGCATACCCAGAACAATTCAGCCCTTCAAACTGTGACATCAAGTATATTTTAATATAGTCTCAGATAAGCTCAATTACTACCACAATTCTTGTATTTTTGAGACAGTCCAGGCTGGTCTTGATCCTCCTGCTTCAGCCTCCCATGTGCAGCACTGGCAAATTTAGAATACTTTTATCACTTCAAACCTTAACCTCAAACCTTATCACTCTCAACCTGGACCAGCTATTGATCCATCTTCTCTATAGATGTTCCTGTTCTAGACTTTAATGTGAATGGACTCTTGGTTTGTGGTTTTAGTTAACTTAGTGTGGGCTTTTTTTTTTTTTTTTTTTTGTCAATTGTAGGGCTTGAACTGGGTGCTGTCCCTGATCTCTTTTGCTCAAGGCTAACATTCAACCATTTAGAGCCACCACTTCCAGTTTTCTGGTGGTTAACTGGAGATAAGAGTCTCACAGGGACTTTCATGCCTGGGCTGGCTTTGAACTATAATGCTCAGATCTCAGCCTCCTGAATAGTTAGGAGTGCAGACCTGAGCCACCGGTATCCAGCTTGTGTTTTCAACAATTGTCCATGTAGCAAGTATCAGCACTTCATCCATTCTCTTGCCTGAATAATAATCCATTGTGTGGATATTTGTTTATTCACCCGATAGACATTTGGGTTGTTTATACTTTGCGAATATTATGAATAATGTTACCATAAACATCCATGTGTAGGATTTGGTATTGATGTTTCCATTTCCCTTGGGTTCTGGTAAATGTGCAGCCATCAGGCTGTTGCTACAGCTTGGCTTAATACTACTTTACCTTCCTATAAGCAAGAAGTATGTGAGGCTCAGCTTTCTATATCTTTGTCAATTCCTGCCACTTCACTTGTGGGCTTCAACCGTCCTAGTGAGTTTCTCCAGATTCAAGGTCTGTGAGTCATCTGTGCAGGGCCAGATTGAGAGCTTGTTGGAAAATAAACACAGGTCACCAAGCTGTATGTTTCTGATATTTTTTTGTGTGTCTAGAATTAAAAGCTTATACCATCTTTCTGTCTGTAGTAATGGATACTTTTAGTCACTTATATTCTTCTTTTGTTGGGTGAACCTGGCCTTCATAATTGTTTGTACAGATTTCTAAATCTTTCCACATGTAAAAAAAGTTATTTTTAAGGCTTAAACTCATGACCTGGGCACTGTCCCTGAGCTTCTTTTACTCAAGATTTGCACTCTGCCACTTGAGCCACAGTGCCACTTGTGGCCTTTTCTGTTTATGTGATACTGAGGAATCGAACCTAGGGTTCATGCATGCTAGGCAAGCACTCTACCACTAAGCCACATTCCCAGCCAGCAGATAATTTATACTCTTGGAGGTCACACTAGTTCTTAGGTTTATCTATTTTGTCTTTGTGTAAGCTGTTGTTCATAGCAAATCTCATATTGTAGGTGATGTTTTAACTCTACAGCTTATGCAACAGTTTGAGGAAAAAATACACAGTTCACAGCCTACAGTTTGGGCTGGAAATGTCTTATTTCTGAAACACACTGGTTAACATAGCATGGCATATTCCTTTGAAGACTACTTTAGGAAAAGTGAAAAGTCTTCATTTTGGAGGCTGGGAAGTGGCTTAGTGTAGAGTGTTTGCCTAACATGCATGAAGCCCTGGGTTCGATTCCTCAGCACCACATAAACTGAAAAAGCTGGAAGTGGCACTGTGGCTCAAGTGGTAGAGTGCTAATCTTGACAAAAATAAGCTCAGGGATAGTGCTCAGGCCCTGAGTTCAAGCCCCAGGACTGGCAAAAAAAAAAAAAAAAAAAAAAAGTCTTCATTTTTGAGCCATATGAAAGGACATATGAAGTCCTGATTGTGGACAGTCTAGTTTCTTTCACACTCACAAATCCAGTAACTTTTTCTTGAATCCAGGTACTCCGGGAACTGGTGTTAAAATATCGTGAGAACATCATTCATGTTCGGACCGCAGCAGACCACATGGAAGAGAAGCTGAAGGCTGAAATACTGTTCCTAAAAGAGCAAATTCAAGCAGAACAGTGTTTAAAAGAAAACCTTGAAGAAACTCTGCAGCTAGAAATAGAAAATTGCAAGGAAGAAATAGGTGAAGATAAAAGTGATCTGGTAGTTTAACATTAGAGTCAGTGTAACTTTTCTGATTGTAAGAACTAACACATAATCATAAAGGTAGAAAAAGAAAAGTCTAACAAACAATAAGTACAGACATGTTTTGACATCCAATAAGTGGAAGCAGAAAACCAAAAACACCTTGTTCTTTTAAGAACTCTGGCAGTTACTAACCATCGGTTCAATGCTAGAGCCCATGTCACCATGATTAGATGGAGCATTTCCTTTCATAGCATTGGTATGTGACAGCTTAGATACATATCCTTGATGTGTCCATTCGTGTGCACTTCATTCCTACCTCAGCTTGATTATCACAGTGGTTCATTGGAGATAACTTTGACAAAGGACCCTTCCCCTATGTTCTATATATAGAATCCTTTGGGGTTATTTTAAGGAAAAATATTAATGCAGAACAATAAATGTTTGCTAATGTTTGTCCTCTTTTTCTTTCTTTAGCTTCCATCTCTAGTCTAAAAGCTGAATTGGAAAGAATAAAAGTAGAAAAAGGACAGGTGAGTCAATCAAAAGTTTAAAATAGCAACTGGTTATTTACTGAATCCTGTGCTAGCAGCAAGAAGTAAAAGAGAGCTTACACACTGCCTTTAAGAAACTTCTATCTAGAGAAGTACGGTGACAGAAAACTTTACCTTAAGCCTGCTATGTCAGGCCATGTGGTGATGGGTGGGGAGGGAGAGAAGTGAGGTGTGTTTGTGGATACAGGGAAGACAAAGATGTGACTGTAGCCTGGAGTTTTAAACAAGCTCATGGGATGACCTGAAGTATGCTTCCATCTATGTACAGAAATCCATACAGAACTTCATACAAACAGTGTTCCCTTTCTGGCTTCAAGTCCTCTTGTAGATAGTGTTGAAAGCATAGATGATCTGCTTCTGCTCCATGGCCTCACTGATCCTTGACTCAATGACCTTTGCCATGAACCCTGTTCCCCATGCTTCTGGCTGTACCTTACTCCTCTGATAGCTCACTCCAACCTCCCATTGTTTAACTCTAGTATTTGTACTTCCTGCTTTTACTCCTGACAGGCCTCAGTATCTCTTTCATGTCCCTGTACTTCTATTTCTTTGGGGCTTTGCTTTCTTTCTAAGTTACATCTTACATGACACCTACCTCTTTAGCTTATCTCCCATCCACTCTCTCAAGCCTCTTGACTGTTTGTCTTTCTGCTGCCCTCACTCAACTATTTCCTAATACTAGCTTATATTTCATCTGCTCCTGCCACCAGAATTGGTGACATTACAGGCCCTTGCTGTCACATGGCCTGCTGTGCCTGCCAGCCCTTCATCTGTCCTGAGTTGTTGCTTCTGTTCCTCATGGTGGCTCTTTAACCAGTCACTGTCACTTAGCCCAGTCACTGTAGTCATCAGGCAGGGGCACCTGCAGTTCCAGGCTCCTCCATTTTCTATTTTTGTTTCTTGGGAGACAGTGACAATCAGTTTCTTGCCCTAGTGTATTATTGCATAATGTTTGAATCCCTTCCATCTTATCCAGTATCTCCTCAGTTTCTGGCCCTAAACATCTTTAATCTTTCCTATTAGCACAGGGAAAAAGGTAAGCCAGATCTACTAGTGTACACCTATAATCCCAGCATTTAGAAGGCAGTGATTGGGAAGATTGTGGCCCAAGGCCAGCATGGGCAAAAAGTTAGTAGTAAGATTTCATCTCAACCAATCTATCTGGCAAAGCAGTGTGGATTTATAATCCCAAATACCTGCGGAAACCATAGGCAAGAGGATCATAGTGGTTGGCTTTAGGCAGAAACAAGAGACTGTATCCCAAAAGACCTTAAAGCAAAAATAGGATGGGAGCTTGGCTCCAATAGTTGATTGCCTGCCTAGTGAATACTAGACCTTGGAAGTTCAAATCCCAGCAGTATAGCAAGAAAAAGAAAACTCATCACTGTGCCAAATGCATTCTTATGCATGCCACCCATTCCCTCTTTTAAAAATACTTCTCAGCCAGGTGCCAGTTACTTAAACCTGTAGTCCTAGCTATTCAGGAGCTGAGATCTAAGGATTGCAGTCAAGAAAGTCCATGGCACTCTTATCTCCAATTAACTACCAAAGAAGCTGGAAGCAGAGATGTGGCTCAAGTTGGTAGAGTGGCTAGCCTTGAGCAAAAAGCCCGTGTACAACAGCTAGGCCCTGAGTTCAAGCCCCAGGACCAGCACACACACAAAAAGCTAACAGTAACAAAAACAAAAAACATCTTCTCCTCTTTATTACTTTTTCCCTCCTCTATAAAATTATTACCTCCATACAGCAGTACTTCCCACCTTCTCTGACAGAATCAAAAGTTCACATGCCGTATTTGCTTGTGTCTGTTTCTTCAGGTTTCTGTCTCCAGGCTTTAGGATTAGAATGCAGTAGGTATTTAATAAATGGTGAATGAAAGATCAGGTCTAGAAGAACAAGTAGAATCCACACATTAAAGTGTGAGTATTCCAAGCAGTCAGGTGTCAGGTCTCAGAGGCCTGACTCTGAACTAACGCACCAAGCTGCATGCAGGCTTTGCTAGCCATGTGCTGTATCCTGTAGGCTGTGACTTTCAGCTTTGTCCCTTTTAATTTCACAGTTGGAATCCACATTAAGAGAGAAGTCTCAACAGCTTGAGAGTCTTCAGGAGATAAAGGTCAATTTGGAAGAACAGTTAAAGAAAGAGACTGCAGCCAAGGTGATTTATTGTGTTTGACCCTTTAAACAGAAGTGGGGAGGGCAACAGAAGAAGTAGCGTTGATCGGGGTGTGCTGTGCTTGGAAACTGATTTATTGAATTGAAACCCCTTTGTATGACTACTTAAGAACAATGATAATAAAGAGGAAGGCTAAGAACATGGAACTTCATTTTATTTATTAAAACCAGAACCAAACCAACTTTGCTGGTTTGAAGTGTCACCTTTTAGTAGAGACTAATAGCTTACAAAGTTAAAATGAATTGGTCTTACTAGATTTGAGTTAAACCTCTAACTCTGCAGGTTCTGGAGGTTTGTGTCAGAGGCCTCACTCGCTTTAGGTCATAATAAGAGCTATTGTACCATGACTGACAATGCCCAGTTAGAAACGCTGCTTTAATGTCATTCTGGAAGTGGAGCTGTGGCTCAAAGTGGCTCAGAAAGCCCTAGCTTTGAGCAGAAAAGCTCAAACAGTGCCCGGGCCTTGAGTTTAAGCCCCACTACCAACAAACAATATAAAAATAAAATGTCATTTCACCAATGTATCAAATTATAAGTAAGAATACATTGAGCCAGAACTACTGTTTTGATTAGTCCGGTAAAAACAAAAGCACAGTGGCGATTTACTTTTGGGGGATGTTGCCATAAGCCAAGTGCAGAAAGGCCAGGTTCGTGCTGTTCAGTGGCTGCTGGGTTTTAGAAAAGCTCCCTCCCACACATCCCATGGGAAGGCAGAAGATATGTCCCCCTCACTGGGACCTGTTGACTGAAAACCTTCCTGGCTGATGCTTGACTGTGGAAATCCCCCAAGTTGCTGTCTGTTGCTGTGACAGCTACTGATCAGTAGCTGTGCTTTTATGATTAAGCAGTCACAGGCTGCTGCAGGAGCATCCGCTTGTTCTAGCTTTCATACCCACTTCATTTCTGGAGTTAGAGAAAAGCAGCCTAGCCAAAAGTGCCAGCCCAAAACTTGTACTCTTGTCCTGGAGAGATCAGTGGGACATGGAAGTATCGCCACTCAGCTCTTCTGGTAACTAAAAGTTCCTAAAGTTACTTAGGAACTCTAGTTTTAGGAACTTTAGGCTCTTTAGCATTAATCCTCACTCAAAACTTTGGCTTTTTAGGTTGCTGTTGAACAACTAATGTTTGAAGAGAAGAACAAAGCTCAGAGATTACAGACAGAATTAGATGTCAGCGAACAGGTCCAGAGAGATTTTGTAAAGCTTTCTCAAACACTTCAGGTGAGGCATTTGGGGAACCACTCTGGCCCTTAGGAAGAGAACCTTATCTATCCTCTCTCTTGAATGTGGACCAGCTAGAGGTCTAGTGGCTTGCAGCCCTGCCTTCAACCCCCAATGATTGCCTAGTTCTTCAAACCAGGAACCTGCTCTGTTCTGTACACTTGACCACTTTCTCTGTACCTTTCCAATTTTCCTTAAAGACTGTTAGCTAGCATTTTAGGTTGTTTTTTAACTGCTCCAGGGTGTCTGCCTACAATGTGGTACTCCCTCTAGAATTCCTTGTCTCCCTTCTCAACTCCCTTTCTTTCAAAGCCCAGTGTAGGTGTGTTCTTTCCATGCCATTGGGCTCACAGGCTTCCTCTCCCACACTCCTGTGATGCTCTGGAAATAGCCACTCACATTTGGTAGACTGTGGTTAAACTTTGTCAGCTTGTTGCTGCCCAACTGAACTGTGACTTTTTTTTCCCCCCAGTCTTGGGGCTTAAACTCAGGGCCTGGGCGCTGTCCTTGAACTTTTGCTCAAGGCTAGCAGCTCTACCATTTGAGCTACAGTGCCACTTCTGGCCTTTTCTGTGTATGTGGTACTGAGGAATCGAACCCAGGGCCTCATGCATGCTAGGCAAGCACTCTACCACTAAGCCACATTCCCAGCCCTGAACCATGGTTTCTTGAGGGTGAGGAGTGCAAATCCCATTAATTCCAGCAAGTGAGGCAGCCTTGGAGACTTATTTTTTTCCTGCTGCTTCCTTCTTCAAAGTGACTGCACTGTGAATTAATCTGCTTCTCAGGTATGTGGGGGCCACACCCACTAACCTTCCCATTGTTTTTCCAGGTGCAGTTAGAGCGCATCAGGCAAGCAGACTCCTTGGAGAGAATCCGGGCAATTCTGAATGACACCAAACTGACAGACATTAACCAGCTCCCTGAGACATGACACCCTGAGGCAGGATTCTAGTCTGCACTTTGGGTTTTTAACTCATCCTTAGAACATTAATTATTAACTCTTAATGAAGCAGAAGTCACAAAAAAAAAAAGGACTGGAGAAGTGCTCATTTCTAGTGGGAGAAAACTGTACAGCACAGGAACAGCCAACACACTTCCAACGGAACACTAACAGGATTCTGCACTTGATCCCAACAGGCATGGGATCAGCTCTGGTGACAGAAGTGCTGTGTCCTTACCTGCTTTCTTCAGTATAGCTCTCTGGAACACATTTCCCTGTCCTAAAGGAACTTCCCAGTAGTGTTTGGAATGACCTTTTCTGTTTATAGATACCAGGAGAGAGAAGTTTCTTTTTCTGTTGTCTAGAGCTCATCAGTAGCTGTGTTCAGCTAGCAGAGGTATAGTGTGCTGTATGAATATTTTATATTAAAATACAAAGTGAGAGCAGGCCATTGGCTATTGACTGTATTTCCCTCACCCTGTGAATTTTCTTTATACTATTTTATCTTACTTCGGAAGACCTTAAATGCTACTGAAACTTGCCTAAGAACCATAAGACTATGGCAAACCAGACCACTTCAAGAACAAAATTAAGGGATTTGTAAACTTGGCAGAGGCCAAATCTATTGGGAGTTTAAGGAAAAGCACAAGAAACTGTTTGGAAGCACTTTTTTTTCTGCACATCTGGATAATCTTTGTGGGCCAGCTGGCACCAGGGTGAAGCTGAATGGCACCATCTACTCCATTTTGAAGTGTTTTAGTTTAGTTATTGGATCAGTGAAAAAAATGTTAAAACAAGCTATCTCTGACAACATCTAGTAATACATTTATAAACCTGCTTATCTTCAGCTTTAATCGAAGGGCATGGATGCGGTTTCAAAAGTGTCACAAAATGGTGATGAGGTTTGACAGATCTATTTTTTAAAACTATAATTTAGATCTGGAGTATTAAGTGATAGCACTTAGGATGAAGTTGGGGAAAACAGGAAAATATGATTTGTTTGTAAATCTCCTCTTTTACCAAGAGGTGAGATACCTTGTCTGGGTGGACAAAGCCTGAGCAAGACAGGCTGTCTACCACAGCTTGATGGAGTGCAGAAGCAAGGGGAATGGACTAACTTCACTGCTTACTGTTGCAGTGCTGTCCCAACGTAGCTATTATGTTTAATTGTATTACAATGTTTAATTCATTATAGAGATGGCTCAAAAGTAAAAAATGTTTTTTCAAGAAGTGTTTATGATTATGCTGCATAACAGTGTGTCCCTAAAGAAATCTTATAGGAATTAGTGAACTGATTTTGGTTCACTTAAAGCCACCATCAACTTACAAGTAACTTTGTTACAAATGAAGTCATTACGAATTTGCCCTAAAGATCTTTACTTGTTTTCTTCCATAGAACAAATGAAAAGGATTATATTACCTCATCCCAAGGCCTATTTTTATAGTCTTACATTCATGATTATGAATTTAAAAGTATCAATTATAGAAATAGTGCTAAAAGCTTGCCATGCACGAAACTATTTTAATGGTTTAAAGTCTCTGTATAACAAAGTACTACTTGTTTTAAAGGGAAAATATAGTTACAAGGAATTTTATTATAAAATGTGATTAAATTATGTAGGTATAAGACTACTCCCATGAATAGGCCCCATACTAATTTGTTTTAGATTATTAAAAATGAGCATTATCAATCACAATGGGTAATTCATAATCTTTCTGAAGTATCCAGGTAAACTGTCCTGTTGAGACTGAGCGCCTTACAGACACTGCTCTGAAAGATGAGTACTGGGCCAATGGAATACTGTAGACTGTGGCCGATGAAAACTTGAAATCCATGCAACAGAATGATACCGAGGAAAGCCTAAACAAACTCTCTAGGTTTAAACAACCTATTTCTGGGATGAGAACACTGTGACACTATGCAGATAAGAAAGAATTCTGTAAACTTGAGTGTTTTTTTGCATAAATGGGATCTGCACTATGAACACCAAAGTTCATCAAAAAGATCAGTTAGGCTTCAAGTGTTCCTGTGCTTATATTCCGTCTGTACACCTGTTCTCGCATGTCTAAACTGACTTACCTCTTACCTGTAACACACCTTACCATATGGCTTTTAATTGGCAGTCACGCAGCCATTTCTCCACAGGTGCAGTCTTGCCTTTCAGAGCTCATAATGGCAGGCATATAAAGATGACCTAAAGCTGAGGACAAAACCACTCATATACTACATACCAAGCTATTTTCTTTTTCCCTTTTAGGTATTAAAACTTGCACTGTGTGCGCACTCAGTAGACACAGAGCACAGCCAAACTTAGCTCTGAAAGGTAAACAGTGCCTGTGAGGAAGTGAGCCAGCAGTGGCCCTGCAGTTGTGGATCTGGAGCTCTGCTCTGAGCACACTGCAGCTGTAACCATTTGTTGATGGTACGGAAGGTGAACCCTTAAGAAAGTGTTCAAATTAAAAGAGCTGCTGCCGAGTAGATTGTGTGGCCTTTTCCTTTGAATCTAAGGGTTCTGACTCCCTTCAGTCATATTGCTAGTGCTGCTACTTTAAAATACAGCCCTTTCTTTTGCTCAAATATGGAGAAGGTACAATGGAGTCACTGAGATCTGACAAGTGCAGTTGAAACCTATTTGTTTCCTCCTTCCCTCCCTCTTTCTCTTTCCTTTTCTTTTTCTTTTTAAAAATAACCCTGGGACCCTTGGTGAGTGCAGTCATAGACTTTGGTTAGAAGACACATTCCCATTTTTAATTACAAGCGTTTATTCAGACAAATTTATTAAAAATGATGAACAACCAAAGCCAAGTTCTTCCAGAATGTCCTTTTTATAAGTTAGTGCTACCTTTTGTTGCATAATACCTCTTTAGAGCCTTCAGTTGTGTTAACATCAGGTGTGACTCTTCCTGGGGATGTCAGAAGTTTACATGATTTCGAATATCATTGATTTGCTTCACCATTTCCCTTATGTGTTCACCCCTGTAACATCAAAAATTACTTAAGAACAAACGAGCCATTAATTAGGGTCTTAAGAATTTAAACTAGTAACTGGAATGGCTATGCTGAAATGAGTAGCTTAATGTTTCGGTGAATAGCATGCATTTAAGGCAGCAAATAGTGGCATCAACTACTGGGTTTATGTGTGCAGTGGTAAGGACTGATTGAACCCAGGCCATCATTCCTAGCTCCAGTTCTGAACATAATTCGCTGCAAGATTCGTTGGACCACACAATGAAGTCTTATCCCAGGAAAGCTTTCATCTTCATGGGTTATCTATAAAACTCATGTATATCTTACAACTCTAGTTGACATGCAAATGCCAAGACATAATTCTTATGTAGGCAGAAAGAGAATGATGTTGGAGTATCAGAAAGGAAAGAAAAATCTCTTGGTATCAACTGATGGGAGTCATTACTTACTCCTCCTTCAGAATGGATTGAATGCACTTCCGCTGGTAGGCACTGAGAGTAATTGTGGGTTTTTGGGGACTCAAGACCTTTTCCATCTTTCGTTGTTGATAGTCTTTTTTCATAGTAACCTTAGGGGTCAAAAAGAACACATGTTGGATATGGTTCCTGTTACCTATTTGAATGGTCTTTTTATATTTATGAATTTTTTTCTATACAAACACTTTAAAAAAGACTGAATTTGCGGGTGCCGGTGGCTCACACCTATAATCCTAGCTACTCAGGAGGCTGAGATCTGAGAATCACAATTCAAAGCCAGCTCTGGCAGGAAAGTTTGTGAGGCTCTTATCTCCAATAAAGCACTCAGAAATCAGGAAGTGGAGCAGTGGTTCTAGTAGTAGAGCACTAGCCTTGAGCTGAAGAGCTGAGGACAGTGTTCAGGTCCAGAGTTCAAGCCCCATGACTGACAAAAAAACAACAACCTGAATTTAGACACCTTGCATCCCTTCATACCTGTTTAATGGCATTGCCTAGATGTCGAAGTTGATCAGGTATAAGCTGTAATTCTTTCTTCATGTCTCTCTCACTATCAGAAAGAACTGGGAGTTGAGAGTGGAAACTATGAAGTACCTTTTTCATCCTACAGAAAAAGAAGGCAATACTTCAGCTTAAGATATCCCCTGATCCGGGGAAAGGCACTCACATACAAAAAGCTCACAATCCAGGAATCTGGTGTTTTGTAAAGTCCCTATTGGGTGGCCTAGGGGACAATGTCATGTCTTCTCTGACACGTACTTCAAAAGAGAGGTAGGGGGACGGAAGCACTCAATTCTATTAGGAATACAAGCACCTGCTAAGTTCTGTTTTCTTAATGACACTGTAAACACCTGCACAAGGAACTGTTGGAGGTCCACTGACCTGTTCATAATATCTTCCTGTTTTTCCTTGGCTTCCTCATATTTGTCAGCTAAACGCTCAGCCATTTCCCGAAGACTTTTCCTGATGACATAGGGAGTAAGAAATGCTTGGGATCCAGCTTGATGAAGCCAGCTGATGAGGCACAGCAAGCCTCCCCGTGAGAACCAGTGGACTGATAGTTTTCTGCTCCCTAAGTTTTGATACTTACCTCTCTTCTCGACAATAATTGAGATCTTCTAGTTGCTTCTTTTTTTGGTCACATAATAACTTGACTCTTCAAGGAGAAAAGGCAGGAAAGGTTAACACCAGCTAGTTAAGACTATTATACTGCACTAGCCACCCACCAGAACTGATGGCTAGTGAACACAGGACATCTTACCTCCGCTGAATCTCCTCCTTTGCCAGGTCTTGCTTAAGAATGTACTGTTCTCTGAACACCTGGGTGGCTCTGCTGATGAGCTGAAGACATTCTTCAAGAGGAGGAGCCAAGTCCTTTTCAGAAGATCTTAAAAACAAAGTCTGTTGTTACTTTCCCAAGCCTAGCAAAACAACTGGAAGATGTAAGGCAAAGCAGTTTTATTCCCTCTTCAGAGCACTACTGAAGGTGCTACTTTGTCCCTGGGCTTATTAGACAACCCCCCTCCTCGCCCCCCAGTCTTCTCCAGCTGCACAGTAGAACATGCTGAGGACAAAGAGGATGAACTGGAATGTTGAAAGAACCCACTCTTAAAAATTATTATGCCTGAGAGCCCATACTTCAGAAATGCTGGGTTGGCAGCACTACGCTGTAAAATGCTTCTAATATGCTTTTCAAAGGAATCTGGTGTTTCAGCCAGAATACGGAGGGGAGACTCGGCCACTTCAGCATCTTCTTGGGTACAAAGCAGAGGCGGAGAGGCTGGGTGGACTGTACTTCTGCAAAACATCATAACCATAGAGTTACTTATTGAAGTATAGGAAGTCTTATTTATTTTGGAATTTTTTTTAAATTGTAACCCCGTACAGAGGGGTTATAATTACATGAGCAAGGTCATGAGTACATTTCTTTTTTGGGTCCGGTCATGGGGCCTGAACTCTGGGCCTGGGCGCTGTCCTTCAGCTCTTTAGCTCAAGGCTAGCGCTCTACCACTTGAGCCACAGCGCCACTCCGGCTTTTTTCTTTTTGCTTATGTGGTGCTGAGGAATCGAACCCAGGGCCTCAGGCATGCAAGGCAAGCGCTCTACCACTGAGCTACCTTCTCAGCCCAATGAGTACATTTCTTATCAAGCATTGTTGCCGCCTCCTTTGTTTCCCCTTCCCTTTGTGTGCCCTCCCCCCACTCCCCTCCCAGTATAGGGAATGTTAAACCACAGTTAACAAGAACTCTGAGGACATAGGACTACTTTTGAAAGAGTACAAGGATGTATGTTTTCTCCCTTGAAAAAGTCACCTTGGAAAGCTTACTGTATCAATGCTGCCAATTATCAAAGTGTTTTGGACTCTGCCACTTAATTGTTTTGTCTGTGCCAGTATTGGGCCTTGAATTCAGGGACCGGACACTGTCCTTTGCACTTTTGCTTAAGTCTGTGCTCTACTACTTGAGCTCCGCTTGTGGGTTTCTGGAGACACTTAGAGATAAGAGTCTCATGGACTTTCCTCCCCAGCCTGGCTTCTAACCACAATCTTCAGATCTCTGCCTCCTGAGCAGCTAGGATTACAGGTATGAGCCACCAGCTCCCAGCCCTTAATTCTTTAGGAAAAGATCATGGAGAACAATATAAATGCATCCTGAACCACTTCTGCAAGGACTCAAGAGCCCAATTACAAGCCCACACTATAAACAAACCACTGCTCTCTAGGTATTGTCCGGATTTGATCAAAACCAATAAGCCAAACAACTACCATATACAATAATTTGTTTTTACAAAACTGCAAACAATCTGCAATGGCAATGTCATATAACTTGTATGTTTTAAACCAAAGAATAGTCTTGCTAGTGCTGTGAACCCATGCCAGCGAATATAAGCACGTAGTATAATATGATCTCATGTCTGACGCCCCAGTGACATGATTTTAGTACTCCTATGCCTGCATTTATGAAACTGAGAATGACTTTCCTGGACTGTTAGAAAAGGCAGATGGTGAGTTCCTAAAGGGAAATGAGGACTGGGTTCAGCTATATACCATCCTTCCTCACAGTTCACATACTCTGATGTCCCTAGGAGGCTGGCAGAGTGAGTGCAGGCCTGTGCCTGCATCTCAGCCATCTGCGACCTGTGACCAGTGTTCATGGTTACTCTTCTGTAACACAAGGACAGCAGTCTCCTTAGGGGCAGGCTTCATAATTTCCAAGAGGCAAGGCAGGAAAGGAGCTTAGAAATCATTAAAGCTGATTCACATTGATAAGGGAGCTCAGTATTTAGTTTTAGTTTTAGAATTCTTTTCTGCAGCTCAGAGAGGAAAGCTCTGATTCTCAGCTCTTTACTAGAGATGGCAGAAACTATGTCTAGAGTAAAACCTTCTAGAGACAGTAGGAAAACAATTATCCCCTCTTCCTACGCTAAAATCAAGTCCAAGTGGAAACCACACACATATAGATTCAAACCAGTTACCTAGGGCATACTCCTGGCCTACATTCTGCAAAATTAAAGCTATGCAGAAAGTGGGACTTACAAGAGAGGACGGATGAGGCATTCGTAGCTGCTGGTGATACAGATCATCGTGGGCCCCAGTATGTCTGGGACAATCCAGAATCCTCGGATGGGAGCTGGTTGCCTGGAAAATCAACCCCATTTGTGTTAGCAGGGGCAGACACCATGGAATGATGAGCAAAGTCAGGACGGATAGCTGCAGCCTTTTCAGGCTGGGTTCTCCATCTGTCAGTATGGTAACTTGGAAACCAACATTCCTCTGATCAATCTGAACCAAGCTGCCACGGACCAGCCTAGAGGTCACCTAACCACATCCCCTACAGCATTGGCATGAGTTACACTCAAGTTCATGCTATGTCTTTCTTCCCTGTCCCCATCCACCTAGCTCCGTGCCCAGTCACTGCTCAGACATGTGACAGAGCAGAGATGTGGGGTCTAGTCATGTCTAGTCATGTGAGGGAGCAGAGCTGCAGGGTTTACTCATATCCCCATTCAGTGCAGCCCAGTCCCTGTCACGGGGCTTCAACTAGTGGGCACAGCACCATCTTCCTACTCCATTGGAGAGGCTGCAAACTGGCCCTCAGATGGGCACTGGTTTTGCCTCCAGTAGTGTCCATTACTGGCCCCACACCACCTCCATGACCATCCTGCATTTCTGTTCCCAAATGTCAGTGTTGCTCTCCTATCTTCTGCAGACTGCCATCTCACTGTCTCTTTCCTCTCTGCCTATAAACAAGCTCATCTGTTTTTCATTCAAAATGCTCCTTCCCTCCAGCGGTACGAAGCTGCATTATGTCTCCATGTCCAGTTCCCCTTAGCCTATTCTTGTGTCTCTTCTTTAGAACAGCAGTCCATTAGATGATTAGTCATCCGGGCTACTCTCCATCTGTGTCTTACCATTTTTTTGGAGGGGGTGGGTAATGTAGGAGCGTCTAGAATTTTACTTTGTATTATCAATGTGGAATCCATATGCACATAGAGTATACATACACATACTATGTGATCCATGCCAGGTTAGGAGTAGGAATGCTGCACCGACATCAGGCCCAGGAGTGGGAGGGGTGCTACACTGACCTTAGCTTCATGGAGGAGGTGACCACCCTGGTCCCAGCCCCCGACCTGAGAGTAAGCCCGAGTCTGACTGTCATGCCTTTGCCTTGCTTTACAGTTTCCCATCTATGTGTTTTATTTTTGGCAGTCCTGGGGTTTGAACTTTTGGTGTCGACCTTGTTGGGCAGTTACTCTACCACTTGAGTCATGCCTACTGGCTCAAACTTTGTAATTAAAGCAAAACTTTATACCTCCTTCTGAAACAGTTTCCTATTCACTGCATGTGTGTACGTGTGTGTATTTGCACATGTGTATGTGTACTAGTCCTGAAACTTGAACTTAGGACCTGGACACTGTCCCTGAGCTTTTTTGTTCAAGGCTAGTGTTCACACTTGAACCACAGCCCAATTCCGGCTTTTTAGTGGCTCATTGGAAATGAGTTTCATAAACAAGATCTTGCCTGGCCTGGCTTCAAACTGCAATCCTCAGATCTCAACCTCTTGAGTAGCTAGGAGTATAAGGTGCTAGCCACTGGCACCTGGCTTTTTTCACTTTTTAGTCTGTAGTCTGACCAACAATTCCATATCCCTTGTGTCCTCCAGACTCCAAACTTAGAAGCCATTGGCCTGCTAGATTCCTCCACTTAGATATCCTACAGGAATATAACTTCAAGTGCCCGTTATCTCTTATCTCTCCCAATCAGATCTTTCTCCTCAGTGCTGGTGCTCTACCACTTAAGCCACAGCTCCATATCCTCCATAATCCTTAATCATATTTACTCTTTTTAAAAAAATTTTAAAATTTTTTTGTTGGTCATGGGGTCTGAACTCTGGGCCTGGGCGCTGTCCCTCAGCTCTTCAGCTCAAGGCTAGCGCTCTACCACTTGAGCCATAGCTCCATTTCTGGCTTTTTGTGCTTATGTGGTGCTGAGGAATTGAACCCAGGGCCTCAAGTATGCAAGGCAAGAACTCTACCACTGAGCCACCTTCCCAGCCCACGTATCTACTCATTCATCTCAAGAAACTTGGGTGTTAAGCTTGGTAATTCTTTTATTATGCTGTTCAAATGTTTATTGAGTACTAAGCACTGTGTTATATGCTAAATAGACCAACACAGCACATGCTGAGAGAGAGAGACCCTGGTTTCAAGACACATCAACTCAGGCTGGAACAGAAGCAACAATACATGGAATGGCCCTGACTTGAGGCCTTTGGTAAACACCTGACAAACAGGATCCTAGAAGGGGAGAAGTATTATGTACATGTATGCATCTGAATTACTGAACCCACAAGTGAGAGGCGAGTTACCTGCATGGCAATGGCTTTGTACAAAGGATGTGCTCTACAAAGCATTTCTGTTCTGTAGCAAGTTCTTGCAAACTATCCTTATCTTCTTCATCTGTGAAGGAATACATTATATAAATTAACTGGTGTTTCAGCAAAATACCAGACTGAAATATTGGTTAAATGCCATTGCTTCTCAAAGACTGTGTCCCTCCCTGTCACAGAAATGTCCTTTCCGCAGAGGGCTAGATCTCTGCATTAAGGGAAAGCAGTTTGTTAAGATGTCTAAATGCAGAAAAGATGGAGAACAACTCTAGAAGATCATTCCTTCCACCTCTTTTCCTTTACCACACTGGTTTTTGTGCATGCTTGCGTGCGTGCATGTGTGTGTGTGGTTCTGGGGCTTGAACTCAGCCTGAGTACTGTCCCTTAGCTTTTTTGCTCAAGGATAGCACTCTACTACTTGAGCCACTGCTCTACTTCGGGCTTTTTGGTAGTTAATTGGAGACAAGTTGCACAGACTTTTCTCCAACCTAGATTCGACCAGCAATCCTCAGATCTCAGCCTCTTTTTTTTTTTTTTGCCATTTTTTTTTTATTTTTTGTGAACACACTGTACAGAGGGTTTTTTTTAAATTTTTATTTTTTGTGAACACACTAGATCTCAGCCTCTTAAATAGCTAGGATTACAGGCTTGAGCCACCAGTGCCCAGCTAACACACTGCTATTTTTCAATAATAACTTTTAAAAACATAACTCAAAATATCATACCACTCACCTTATCAAGTACATGTTCAATTGGTTGTGTGTGTGTGTGTGTGTGTGTGTAAGTGTGTGTAATTGTTGGTGCCTTGAATTCCAGGCCTTGTGATCTTAAGTTAATTCTCTCCAGGGTTGGAGCTCTACCATTTACGATCCTCAGATCTCAGTCTCCTGTGTAACTAGGATTACAGCTGTGAACCACCACTGCCTGGCTCAGATCAATAGTTGGTTTTTGTGGGGGCGGGGGGGGGGGGGGCGGAAAGGAAGAGGGAAGGAGGGGGAAGAGGTCATGGCACTTGAACTCAGGGCCTGGGTGCTGTCCCAAATAGGTTTTTAAGTATATTAAAATAACGATACCACCATCACCACAAGCATTTGTAAATACTTTCATTTCCCATAAAGAAATCCCCAGAGCTTTTAGTAGTCATTCAAGTTTTTATCAACTTTCCCAGATCCAGACAACCACTAATCTATCTCAACGGAAACTGCTGCTCTGGACATTTCAGAGAAGTAAAATCATGTAACATGCCTTGGCTTATAACTGACTTCTTTCACTTAGCATGCTTTCAAGATTCATGTATGAGTATGTCGTTTCTTCTTTAGTGAATAATATGCCACTGCAGCAATGGATATTCCAGCTTTTATTTACTCAATAGTTGGCACGGACATTGTTTTTGGCTTGTGGGCTAATAGGATAGTGTTACTATGAATGCTCACATACCTGTATACTTGAGTGGACATAAGTTTTTATTTTTCTTGAGTACTCAGGGAACTGCTAGACGGATGACAGCTCTTTCAGGAGCTGTCAAGACTATTTTTCTAAGTGCTGCACTATTTTCCATTCCCACAGGCAGAGAGTGGGACCCATCCTTCCATACCCCAATACTACCTACTGTCTACTCATCTAACTTTAGCCAGGCCAACACTATGGTTTGGGATACCTCATTTCCACAAACATGGTATTTTTTTCCCCATTTGTAAGTTTATTTTCTTTCAACATTTGTAGTATTGGAGACATTTGTACTTTTGTTAAACAGAATCTCATTCCTATGATTTTGCTGTTAGTCTAAATGTTGTGTTTTCGTATTTTTTGTTGATTACATAGAAGTGAACTGCTCTTTGTGTATTCATACAAACTTGTAGTTTTGTGAATTCTTCAGGATTTTCATACAAAAGATCCTGTTGCTGGGTGGCAGCGGCTCATGCTTATAATCCTAGCTACTTAGGAGGCTGAGATCTGAGGATCGAGGTTCACAGACAATCTGGGAGACTCTATATTCAAGTTAATAGCAAAATGTTTAACTGGAGGTGTGGCTCAAGTGGTAGAGCACCAACTGTGAGTGAAAAAGCCAAGTGAAAGCACAAGCCCCATCCAGTTTCAGCCTCTATCCCAGCATGTGTGTATATATCATGTTATCTGAAAAGAGAGTTTTTTTCTTTGTTCTTTTTCTTGGCTAATTTTCTGGGTAAAACTTCCATTACAATGTTAAGTAGAAGTGGCATGAGGAGACATCTCTGTTATGTTTCTTAAAAGGAAGTGTGGAGAGATAAACATTAAATTTGACATTACCAAGTAAAGCCTTTAAGATGTGGCCAGAATTCTTACTAAAATACAAGGAAGATGATACAATTCAGAGATGAACTGTGAAAAAGAACGAAGACTTGATGGTTTGGGAAATTTCAAGGCTGTATGGAAGTCAAAAAAATTCTCAAGAGCTGGGCATCATCAATGGCTCATGTTCAGAATCAACAGGCAAGATTTGATGATCTTGGTTCAAAGCCAGTCTGGGTACAGACTCTTGTCTCCAATTAACTAGTAAAGAGCTAGAAGTGGAGGTGTGGCTCAAGTAGTAGGGTACCAGCCTTGAGTAAAAAAGCTAAAGGGTAGTGCCCAGGCCTGGAGTTCAAGTTCCAATAGCATACTGCCCTCCCTCCCCAAATCTTAAGAGATTCATCATTAGAAAAACAGGCTATAGAGATCGAATGTGTCAAAGGGTCAGAAAGAGGATTAGAGAAGGCTGTTCTGCCTCTAAAATCTGTAGGTAAGAAACAACCTGATAAAGCAACACTAATGCTTTCTTTCCTAAAAATGAAGGGTGAGGGAGGTGCATATGATCAAGGTTAAAAATGTACAAGAGAAACAGTAATCCTAGCTAGTCAGCAGGCTGAGATCTGAGGATCACAAGTTCAAATCAGCCCGGGCAGGAAAAGTCCATGAGACTCTTATTTCCAATTACCCACCAGAAAACCGGAAATGGCACTGTGGCTCAAATGGTAGAGCGCTAGCCTTGAGCTGAAGAGCTGAGGGACAGCACCCAGGCCCAGAGTTCAGGCCCCATGACCGACCAAAAAAAAAAAAAAAGTACAAGAGGCCAGGAGGCACTGGTAACTCACTCCTATAGTCCTACACAGGAGGCTGAGATCTGAGGATTGCACTTTTAAGCCAGCCTCCACAGCAAAGTCTGTAAGACTCTTTTTTTTTTTTTTTTGTCGGTCGTGGGGCTTGAACTCTGGGCCTGTGCGCTGTCCCTCAGCTCTTCAGCTCAAGGCGAGCGCTCTACCACTTGAGCTACAGCACCACTTCCGGTTTTCTGGTGGTTTATTGGAGATAGGAGTCTCACGGTCTTTCCTGCCTGGGCTGGCTTTGAACCGCAATCCTCAGATCTCAGCCTCCTGAGTAGCTAGGATTACAGGCGTGAGCCACCAGCGCCCGGCCTTCTGTGAGACTCTTATCTCCTATTAACCATCAAAAAGCTGCATGTGGAGCTGTGGCTCAAGTGGTAGAGCAACACAACACACACGCAAGCATACACACACACACACACACACACACACACACACACTGTACAAGAAAAAAAGTCCAGAGAATCAAGTTTTGCTTTTATAAATTTCCTCTTATTTTCCTTTTTCAAACTACTTTTGGATGGAATCTTGAAAACTACAGACAAGTACAAGTTAGTACACTCACCTGATCCAAGGAACTTGTGAAGTTTGTGAATCCAAGTTAGCCCCACACTGTGGACGCCAGCCTCATGAGTGCAGTGGTATCGTGAAGGACACTTGGGGTCTGCAGACGGAATGATGAATGACATATAAGACAGCAATTAGGAGATGCAAAGAATTTACCCAGGAGCCTACAAATGCCTTTCTCTGTAGAGAGAAAGTCTGGAGGATTTTTATCCTGGTGTGTTATGTTGGAGGCCTTGTTTTTAATTTGAATTCAATTTTTCAAATATGTTTTAAGCACCTTTTTAAAAAGTATAATGAAAGCACAGGGGGGACCAAGATGGCGACGGGGCAGTAGGGAAACGCCACAGCTCTCTCCAACCAAAAAGAGAGTTCGAGTTCCAACGCTTAATCTCCCCAAGAGACCGACAACAACAAAAAGACAAACACTCAGAGAAAAACCAGAGGTGGAAAATAACAAAAAAGAAAGAGAGGAAAAGAATTTCAGAACAGAGAAGAGCGAAGACCCCTCCCCCAACCTTTACTGGCCGCGCGGCAGTGCGCCAAGCCGCCGGCCAGCCGGCCCGGCGGGGGCTGCCGGAGCCCCAGAGTCACAGGGGGCTGCTAGCAGATCACCAGGTACCGGATTGCAGAACAGTGGATCGCCAGGAACAGAGAAACCTACCAGCCGGGAGTCTCCACGAGGATCCCACCCCCACCCCTCACTCTCCACCGGAGCGGAGAGGCTCCATCCCGCCAAAGCCGCCCGGCACCAGCAGCGCAACAAAGGGACCTGTCGGCAGACCACCCGCCCAATCGCGATCGCAACGACCCTGAGGGGGCCGCCCAACCAGCCCGCAATGACCCCAACTGAACTCGGATTGCAACAACAACTGACGACCTACAGGGTGAGTACCCCACAGGGGACAGTGAATCCATCAAGGGAGACCAGAGCTGGAGGGAATCCCCAGACCCTGACCTAGACTCCCTACCCCAACACCCGGACCACAGGACCCACTAAAACTGGGAACTGTTTGAGAGCTCCACCAGCCGGTGGAGCACACTCTGCTGGCCAGGCCAGAGCAAGAGTGCCCCTGGAAGGGAGCTTAAATGCTCAAGCCAGGAACAGCGCCCCTGGGTCAAGACTACCAACAGTAGAAGAAATTTGAACTGTGTCCTCCAGGCTGCATAACCTAGGTGGTACACACATTAGCACAGGCCTAACGAGCGCGCTCCAGGCTGGGGCCGGAACCAGGCCTGGGGACCCGGCGCCTGAACAACACAACCAACTCCTCCCAACTGAAGTAAAAAGCTGAGCATAAACCCGGGAAGCACGCCTGTGACAACAAAAGACCTGGAGGCTCAGGACAAGAGAAGCCCAAACCCCACCAAAACTCCACCCATATACCCTAGGCTGGGAATTGGGCAACACAGGCTGCCAGCACCTGATAGTAAGCAGGAGCTCAGGCTGTTAAGGCGGCTCAGCAATAGAGTGATAGTCTTGGACGTATGAGGCCCTGGATCTGATTCCTCAGCATCACAAAAGCAAAAAGGGTCAGAAGTGGTGCTGTGGCTCAAATGGTAGGGTGCCAGCCTTGAGCTGAAGAGCTTAGGGACAGCACCCAAACCTAGAGTTCAAGCCCACAACCAGCCCAAAACAAACAAACAAAAACACATCAGGAGCCCATAGCAGACTCCAGTATTTGGGAGAGTGCATCCAGAACATCTGAACTTCCCAAGAGCACCCGTAGGAGCAAACACAAGCAGTCTAGGCTGCTCAACCCTTCCAAAGGCGGGAATTGCCAGCAATCTACAGCAGAGAGCTGAGAATCCTAAGTAAGTCAGAATAGCAGCTGGAAATAGGCTCCCAACAGAATCCAGATCAGGCACAGACTCTCTCTACCAATACAGAATCAGCAACCAAGCAAAGACAGACACACCAAAACAAAACTGAATAGCAGTCTTCTGAACCCCCATGCGAAAATCACAGAGAAAAATCACAAGGATTACCACTACCCAGGATAGCAAGCTCACCTCAAAAGCCAGCAGCCATGCAGGGGAGAGCCCCAGTGGGAGCAAAGCAGGAATGGAAGACAAAAGCTACATCCAAGGGTTGCTGGAGGCAATGACTCAAGAAATAAAGCGAGAAATGGATCAGAAATTGAAAGAGCACAAGGATGAACTATCAAGAGAGATACAGGATATCAAACAAAAGTTGGATGCAAAAATAGAAGCTGCACAAACCTCAGTAGGAAGTGAGATAAACGCCAAATTAGAGGTAATGCATACTGATCTCACCTCATTGAGAGGTGAGATCAGTACTCTGAGAACCAACATTGAATCCATAAAGGGATCCATTTCCACCATGCAAACCACAATAGAAGCCACGGTCAACAGAGTGAATGAAATGGAAGGTAGAGTGTCAGATACAGAAGACAGAATACACCAACTGGACCAAAAAGTGACAGATATGGAAAAATCACTCAAATTAAACCAAAGGGAAATTCAAGAGCAAGCAGATAATGCTAAAAAATTTAACCTTCGCATAATCGGAGTGGACGAAGGTGAGGAATTCCAGAGCAAGGGAATGCAACACCTATTTAACAAGATAGTCAATGAAAATTTTCCCCACCTCAAAAACGACCATCTTAACTACATCACAAAAGCTTATCGAACACCCAACAAGCAAGATCCCAGGAGAAACACTTCTAGGCACATTATAGTAACAATGATGGATCTGAATAATAAGGAAACAATCCTGCATGCAGCAAAAATGAAGAAGGAGCTATACTACAACGGGAAAAAAATTAGAATCACTGCAGATCTCTCCACACAAACAATGAATGCAAGAAAAGCCTGGAAAAGCACCATACGAGCCCTGAGAGCCAATAACTGCCAACCCAGACTGATATACCCGGCAAAGCTAGCATTCACATTCGATGGAGAACTGAAAACTTTTAATAGCAAAGAAAAACTAAATGAATACATAAACATTAAGCCAGCATTACAAAGAATTCTAAGAGGGGGGACACAACCTGAAGAAAGCAACCAGGAACTGGGACCTACCCCAAACAGGCATTACTCAAAGTCTAACTGAGCAAGCACAGGAGGAAAGGAAAGAAGAAAAACTTAGGAAAACGGAATGGCAGGGACAACAATGCATCTCTCTATACTTTCTCTTAATATAAATGGGCTGAATTCGCCAATTAAAAGAAAACGAACTGAGGACTGGATCAGAAAACAAGACCCATCCATCTGTTGCCTTCAGGAGACCCACCTCTCAGCCAAACATACAAACAAACTCAGAGTGAAGGGGTGGAAAAGGATCTACCAATCAAATGCCCCCAGTAAGAAAGCAGGTGTAGCTATCCTGATATCTGACAAAATAAACTTTTCATTAAAATCAGTACAGAAAGACAAGGACGGACACTACATATTAATAAAGGGAACAATCCAAGAGGAGGATATAACCATCATCAACTTATATGCCCCAAATATCGGTGCATCCAGATATGTCAAACAAATGCTCTCAAACTTACAGAATAAAATAGATCCCAATACGATAATACTAGGAGACTTTAACACGCCACTCTCACCAAAGGACAGGTCTACCAACCAGAGGATTGGCAAAGAAGCTACGGAATTAAGTGAGGCCATACTTCAAGCAGAATTAACTGACATCTACCGAGTATTTCACCCTAAAACAACACAGTACACATTCTTCTCAGCAGCTCATGGAACTTTCTCCAAAATAGACCATATCATAGTTCATGCAAGGAACTTAAGCAAATACAAAGTGATCGACATAATCCCCTGTATCCTATCTGACCACAGTGGAATCAAGCTAGCTCTCAATAACAAAGCATACCGCAGAAATTTCTCTAATACATGGAAATTGAACAGCACACTCCTTAACAAGGCCTGGGTAACAGAAGAGATCAGAGAAGAAATAAAACATTTCCTACAACTCAATGAAAATGAAAACACCTCACAAAGAAACTTGTGGGACACAGCAAAAGCAGTCCTGAGGGGCAAATTTATTGCCCTCAGTGCCCACATCAAGAGAATGGAGACAGACCAAGTAAATAATCTCATGTTGCAACTAAAACAGCTAGAAAAACAAGAAAAAATGGGACCTAAAGCTACTAGATGAAGCCAGATAACCAAATTAAGAGCAGAGATTAACCAATTAGAAAATCAGAAAACCATAACCAAAATAAACCAAACAAAAAGCTGGTTCTTTGAAAAAATAAACAAAATTGATGGCCCATTGGCAAGATTAATTAAAAAAAGAAGAGAGGAAACCCATATTAATAGGATTAGGGATGCCACGGGAAACATCACAACACGTACCCAAGATATCCAAACAATTCTAACAGACTACTTTCAAAAGCTATACTCTCTAAAGGAAGAAAATCTGGCAGAAATGGATGCATTTTTAGAGAAATACAAGTTTCCCAAACTGAGCAAAGAAGAAGTTAACCAATTAAATAAGCCAATATCCTATAATGAGATACAGGAAGCTATCAAAAGTCTTCCAACAAAAAAAAGCCCAGGACCAGATGGATTCACAGCAGAATTCTATAAGACCTTTAAAGAAGAACTAATACCCATACTCCTCAAGCTCTTCAGAGAAACAGAGAAGGAGGGAGCTATCCCAAACTCATTCTACGAAGCCAATATCACACTCATCCCCAAACCAGGCAAAGACCCAACCAAAAAGGAGAATTACAGGCCAGTCTCCTTGATGAACACAGATGCAAAGATCCTTAACAAGATTCTAGCTAACAGAATCCAGAAACACATTAAAAAAATAATACACTATGATCAGGTAGGCTTCATCCCAGAGACACAGGGATGGTTTAACATACGTAAGTCAATAAATGTAATCCAGCATATCAACAGAGCCAAGGTCAAGAATCACATGATTATCGCCACAGATGCAGAAAAGGCCTTTGATAAAATTCAACATTCATTCATGCTAAAAGCTCTGGAGAAAATAGGAATAGAAGGAACATTTCTAAAAACAATAAAAGCCATTTATGACAGACCAATAGCCAATATTATACTTAATGGGGAAAAGCTACAACCAATCCTCCTAAAAACAGGAACAAGGCAAGG